CACCGCTAGTCACATCATTAAAAACCAGTCATGTCAGATTGTCCCAACCTGACCTGTGACCAAGCCCTTCCTTCTTAACCCATCCGACCTAATAAATATCCCAATTATAATTAAATTAACCCAACTTTTCATCTTCCCAAACCCTATACATCTTCCCACCCTTCGCTGGTCACCTCATGTCAAGAAACCCTGGGGAAATTGAAAAGCCCCGAGGTTTAGAAATAGGAGCAAGGGAGCCTTCTCCCCTGAGATCCAGTCCTAAGCTCGGCTCCAGCTTTCTCTTGCGGACAACAACTCACCAACCACCGCAATTTCTCTAAGTCTCCCATCGACGCCATCTCTGCTCCGACCGCACATCGGAGGCTATCGAGTGGTGGCCCAGACCCTAGTGGTTAGGTTGGGAGAGCCTTTGCGGATTTTTCGATCCCTTCATCTCCTATTTTTTGCCGATAAAACCCACCTCTGACTCGTTCACCATTGTCGACTCCTTGGGTTCATGCCCATCGTCATCATTGTTGCCAACTTCTCTTCCGTCAAGTCTTCCATAGGAACCAGTGGTACTCTTCCATTTTTTTTTTTTTTTGGTTTTGGGTGATTTTCTAATATATTTCAATTCAATTTCCTCAGTTGCTTGGATTCATGGATAGATGGTTCTTGTTGCCAAATTGCATTGCTTACATGTTCAATTCAATTTCCTAGCTCTATATTGTCTTGATTGGTCTCTCTATCTTGTTCCTCCTTGGTTGTGTCTTTCTCTGTATTTGGTTGGATGGATGCAGGGTCTACAAATTCAATTATACCTTTCCCATCTGTACTTTTGATTCGGGCCTAATTGCACACATTTTACTCTCATTTCCCTTGGGCGTTTGTAGCATTTGGACTCCTAAAAGGGTGATTTTACGCTAGGTTTTGTGCATTTTAGTGTGTTTCAGGATCCAACAGGTGAAACCAGCCCCGGAGTCGAAAGTTGGACGAAAAGAGGTGAAGATCAAGCAAAGAGGGTGATCTAGGCGCAGTTCACGATTTCCCATGGGAGTTCACGATCCACTTTGGCCGTGAAATGAAGCCCAAAACCGTGAACCGTGATGTGTCCAGGGAGAATTCTGCAGTTACTACCGCGGGACGAGTTCATGGTCTTGAGGCCAAATCCTCCTGATGGCGAAGCGGTGCATTTCGACATCGCACTCTATGTTCATGGACGCGTTGAAGAGTTCACGGTCGTGAACTGAGCCCGATCCTAGTATATAATGTGAACTGAAAGGAAGAGAGAGGGGGAGCACAAGTGTGAGAAAGTTTCTTCTTCTTCTGATTTTAGAGAGAGAAAGGACGAACCAAGGAAGAACGAAGGCTAGGGTTTGCTTTAAGTGGTGGATTGGGAGGATTCTCCTCAAGAGAAGATCAACACAAGCTCAAAGGAGATTGGAGGCATCACCATGATGGTTTCTACATCTTCCTCTTGTGTTCTTCCCCTTCCTAGCATGGAGTAGTACTCTTTTTCACTTGGATGTTGTGAAACCCTAACTATATGGCATGTAGTTGTTGTGTGAATTGAATGACTGTTTATGGGTGTTGTTTAATTCAATGATTGATGCATTTTTCATGTTGATTGTGCATATTTGTGCTTAGCAATCCAATTGATCATTCTAAGCCACCTATCTAGGTTAATGTAGGGCAAACCTCTATGTTGAATTAAGCAATTTGGTTAAGCGCGATTAAGCCGACCAACCATTGGGATGAGTGAGAGAGTAAGTCAACCATCAATTTCCTTAACCAAGAGGGCTAATTGAGTAGCCTATAATGTATCCCTTGGTAAGGAAAACGAGAGTGTGGTCTACGACCATAGTTGCGTTTCCTGGCGGTTCGCCGTCACCTTTCCCGTAACAATTAATTCAATTCCTCATGCCATGGTAGTAGTTAGGGGGAAACGACCCCTGAGTGATCCTTCTCACAAAGAGCTTTCAAAACCGTTTACTTTTTCCTTGCTTTACTTTAATTAGCAATCTTTTCAACCAAAACCGATTCACTATATAATCTTTCAAACAATTGACTTAGGGGTACACAGACCGGCCCGAGTCGATATTTAAACATACTTGCCATGTATTGCACCTTACTAAGGTTTATACTTGGAACTTAGGCGGGAATTAATTGTGATATTCGGGACGAGTCAACTTCATTATCAGAACCAGCGTTGTGGGCCTTATGTTTCCCTCATTAAATTTTCGGTGCTACCAGAAACCATCCTTGCTTCAGATTAATATGGACAGTTGGGCTGACTTAGCATGGTGGTGAGATGAGGATCTCTTGGATGAATATGTGTGGCAGTAACGATGAGGAATCGACTGGCGTTGTCATTAGGTTGCAGCCAATGCAATCAAAATCGAGATTTTATGTAAAATCGAAAACTAAAGTAAAGTCTGAATCATAGATCAAAATTGTAAGATTTTAAAGTTCAAATTAAACGAGCATTTAAAACTCCATAGATTAATAACAATGCATATCCTGCATAACAATCCACCACATATAACTTAATTATTTACCAAGATAAGTTTGTTTTTTAAATAAATCCATATATTTATTCTTGTACATAACTTTAACACACAAATAAATAACCTGAAACCTCATAGGCGTTACTTAATCTAGTTAATAGCTAACCTGAAACGTCATAGGAGTTACTTAATCTAGTTAATAGCTAAGATTAGTAAATCACATAAGATCGTTAGGATCAATATTAACTTCCCTTACACATCATCATCCTCCTCACCCTCACCCTCACTCACATCCTCATTGAATCCTTGTCTATTTGTTTGAGTAATAATATTAAGGGTTAATACCCTAGTTTGGCCCGAAGTTTGGTGTGTGTGACAGTTGTGGCCCGATTTTTCTAATAAGACATTTATGGCCTACTTTTCAAAGTAATCGACATATTTGGCCCAATTCTTATGTTGACTGTTAATATTAACGGTCAAACATATATTCCGTCAATGACTCAACATCCAATGCTGAGGTGGCATCCACATCACTTATTAATTAAAAACAAAAAATAGAAAACAAATTTAAATAAATAAAATAAAATAAAAACCCTCTTCCTTATCTTCTTCTCCTAAGTTCTTACCTCACCCCCTGATTCCTCTATCGCAACTGCGTCCCTCCAACATCCAACCTTACCTCTAATTCCCCCATGTCTAACTCTCTCTCCTTACCGACAGCCAGCCTTGTCGTCAACCTATGCAGTGGGAGGACATATCTACGGTGGGTGCCGCCGAATTGATACAGGGGAAAAGAGAGGGTAAGGGAAACCGATGTTGTGTCGTGATGATTCCTGGCAGAGATATGGCGGAGAGACTATGGTGATTGATGACGACGGCGAGATGACGTATCTACGAAGGATGTCGTAGATCTCTGCAACTGTGGCGTTGAGAGCGACGAAGCAGAACAAGGGTTGTGATCGCAAGGAATGACGTCGATGTAGATCTGGAAAAAGACGACGAGCAAGGCGTCGTCGTCGAGGTAATGGGAGATTGAACGGAGGAGGTGATGGTGGAGGGAAGATAGAGGGAGCGGCGGCGGAGGGTTAGGGAAGATGGAAGGCGCGGCGGCGGAGGGTTAAGGAAGATGGAGTGGAGGCGGAATTAATGGGGACGGGTGGTGTTGCGGCGGGACGCGGGGTGGGTTCTTTGCCGAGAGTGGAGAGAAAATGTAGGGATTTTGATTTTGTGATCCTTTTTCTAATTTGTTGCTTTTTGTTTTTTTCAAAAATTAAATACCTAATTATTTAGTATGTGGAGACAAACATCAGCCACATCAACAATAGTTTGCTGAGTCATTAACGGTAAGAATGTTTGACTGTCAATTTTAACGGTCAACTCAAGTTTTGGGCCAAATTTGTCCATTATTTTGAAAAGAATGCCATAAATGTCTTATTGAAAAAGTCAGGCCACAACTGTCACTTGCGCTAAACTTCGGGCCAAACTAGGGTATTAACCCTAATATTAATATCATTATTCTTGGGATCACTTGAACTACTTTCACTATTGAACATATTTCCTTAATAACCATCATCTAAAAAGGTAACTCATTGATTGATGCATTCCCTTTTTGATCGATAAAATGTCGGGGATTGTGGTGCTGAAGGTTTCAGATATGAACAAAAGCTTGCAAGGGAATAAGGATTGGGATAATTGAGAGGGTGGTGGGGAACAAATTCCGAGCTAATTGAGTGGGTGGAGGAAATCGTTGATGGAAGGAGCTGGGTGACAACATGCGGAAGAGGAAGAAATGAGGAAGAGAACAAACATAAATTGACGGTCATCTATTGGGTTAGGGTTATATTGTTCATTATGTTGTGTTTAAGGAAATTGAACTTGACTCGGCTCATTTGAAAACCCCCGACCTGACTGGCCTGATTTTGCTCCAATTGACATGAACCTTGAATCGTACAAAATCGTAAAAAATTGTAGATTTTAAGGATTTTGCAGTTTAAATTGGGATTTTGTGAGATTTTAAGGTTCAAAGATTTTTTAGTAAAATCAGGGTCGAAACCTATAGGTAAGGTCATAAAATCGTAAGGTTTAAAGATTAAAATAAGGATTTTAACTACATTGGTTGTAGCAAAAAAGCGGTGTTGTATGCTTTTGGTGGAGGAATAGTTGGGTGAGAGTGTTTGCATGAAGGACACGTGGCAGCAGAAAGGATATATGATAAGATGGATTCTATTACGTTGTTAGACATATCCCTCAGTTGTGGCTAAGTGGGATGTTTCATCACCTGGTTTGCTCACCCACACAAGCTGCAAGACGAGCTGAGCAATTGGCTCTTATATCAATGCTTATGCCCATACTTGGCTAACTTTGTTGGGGCGACTTGGAAGCATTTAATGGGCCTCATATGTTTGGGTTTGAATGTTTGTTTGTTTATAGGCACATCGGTGCGTACCACTTTTTGATCTGATGAGGTTTATGTAGGCTTTTATAGTGCGATTAGCGAAAGCTTTTAACCTTTTAGTGCTTTATATCACTTTATTCTTAGCGACTAACTGTGTTGCCTATTTAGTGGCATAAATGATTATTTCATCGATAGCTCAACATTCGGTTGACTACCAAATTTACTTTTTAACGAGTTGTAATCTCTTACCTATTACTATGCGACTATGATAAAAAGGGGACACTGAATGTTAATTAAGGCGTTCGTTCAATACAGCTGGACTCCTAAACAACCGCAACACTGAGATTTTGGCAACACTAATGTCATCGAGATGAATGTACATAATTTCCAATCACTTTCGTAGCTTTGTTATTCAGTTTTCCAGCTTATTACATGTAGATACTAAAAGTAATAAAAATGTTCAAAATAATCGTAATCTAGTAGCACGACCGAGGAAAACATTGTCATTCATATGAAAGAAGAAGAGAAAAAAACATTATTAATGAATAAAGCATAGATTTCAATGAGATGAGCTTGGAGTTCTTGGAGATGATCGTATTCCATTATGAATCTAGTGTCTTTGCAACTGCAAGTACTCCATTGGCAGCGTCGGCCATGGCATCATTGGCATCCATAACCCACAACTTAGCATTCCCACTTGCAGCATTCAAGGCCTCATCGCAGAAACCAAAGTTGGAGACGACGGCACTAAGCATGGCGGTCAACTTCTTAACTGTCTCCTTGGGGCACTTCTTCGCCTTATCACCACCATTATCATCCTTGACGCATTCCGCACAAGCCGTCGAGGCTGAATCCAAGCTCTTGTTCGCTTTGTCGTAATTCTCAAGGCAAACGTCGAGGCTCTTCTTGGTTTCGGAGGTCACAGAAGGGTCCTTGGACCCTTCCTGGACGGCAATGTAGGAGCCTTCGCTGAGAAGGGCCTTGAGGATCTTGATGTCCGAGAGTATGACGGAGGCAGGGTCTGCCTCTGGCGTGTTCCCGAGGAATTGGAGGCATTGGGTGGGGTCGTCAGTCTTGGCACAGAGGTCCTGAATGGTTTGGTTGTTATTCACGGATTCTGCAGTTGCGTCAGGGTCATAGTTTGGGGTGATAAAGACCACAACGGATGCGAATGTAAAGGAATCGTCTCCATTTTGGAACCAGCCTGGCGCCGATGGGGAATCTGACGGGGATTCTGATGGTGATTCGGTAGCAAAGATGGTTGACAACAACAAGGCGATTGTTCCTGCGAAAAGTACTTGCTTGGTGTTCATGATTGTTGATCTGTTTTGCTGCCAATATTTTCTCAACACAAAAAGGAAGATGATGTGTGGGTTAAAGTCTAGTGTTTGCTATAATATAGTGGTGTTTTGGAGGATATGAAAAACGTGGCATTTGATTGTTACTTCACATACATCTCTTTTGACTTATTGTGCATTCTCCGTTTTATTTGTTCTCGAAATTTTCGGTTGATTAATTTTGTCCCTTTCTCATTGATGTGTCCGGGTCTTTAGGTGCTCATGATTTGAAAGATGTAGTATGTCAATACTTAAAATAGTTATTGTAAAGTTTCATTTGGTAACTTAATTTTGTTTACAGACTGATTTAGGTCTATACAATCGGACATGTAATTTGAATATAATAATCATTGATTTTATATGATAAAAGAAGAAAATATTTTTACATATATACTTTCGTCGAGATTGATACGCCCCTTGGGGGTGTATGTTATCAAAGTCACGCAGCAAACAATCAATCCGGAGATTGATTGAAATCGTATCAAGAACAACGTGTTCTTAATACGAAAAATGGATAAAACGGAAACGAAAGGGAATTCTTACACCTGGAAGAATGCACAATCGTTATGGCGAAGCTTTCGATATAATCGAGTGTGATTGCTCGATCAATAAGCAGGTCAGCAAGTTTTGATCGCAACCAAAACCCAAGAACAAGTTCGCAAACTTGAACAACCCAAATGGTTTCTTTTTCGATTAATCAACGTCTCTCTCCCTTTTACAACGTAAATAGAAAGGTATTTAAAGGCAAATAAATCCTGATAAAATCCTAATGGAACAAGGAACAATTAAATTAAAATTATACTCTAAAAAGGTTACAAATTTCGGACTCAAACTTCCTTTCTTGAAGCACAAGTAAGCTGCCAGCAAATAGTCCAAAAACAGCTTTTGTACTAACTTCGTGCCATTCGTTCAAGGCCTTCCAGAACTCCAATCCTTCATCCAATTCCTTCCCTTTGTATACAAACATACCTAGTTTCATGTTATGGAAGCCTTTGGACTTGAATCCCATCCATGCTCCTCGAATTAAGCTCCAAAGTAGGCTTCATGAACACAGATTTATACTTGGACAGATTCTGGCAGTTTTCATGTTTTGAGATAACCACTTTGAGGCCTTGGCAAATAATCTTAATGACTTTTTCTGGATCCAAAAACCATGCCATCTTGTAGAATAACACTTTATCTTCAAAACAAGCCCTTAATAATGAATTTTCATAAAGCCAATTGTGAGAACCATGCCTCAAAGTAGGCATCTCGAAACTGTTCCAATACTTAACCAACATCTGCCCTTATTCTTCCCAACTTTGATAGCTTTTTTGTCAAGTAATAAAAACGTGTATAGTTTGCCATTTGGGATAATATCAGGCAGTTAACCCTAACAATTGACTGTTAAATGTCTAACGTGGAAATTAAAAAATTAATTTAAGTCTTTTAATATTTCCACATCATTAAAATAATAAATAAAATTTATTATCAAATAAAATTTATTATCAAATTTCCAGCCACTAGAGAACTTTCCAAAGGGGCAAGCATGTCATTACATGTGGTTCATTTCATCATTTTTTTATGTGTCAATAAATTTGTTGGCCCAGGCAAGATAAACCTCTTATACATTTTGATTCTTCATATAAATAAAATAGTTTGAAGGATGAACAAACTTTATACTCACTCTGTAGGTTGAATGAATTTTGGCTTTATCATTTACAATAACTGGTACATTTATAATATCGTGATGTTTGAAATCTTTTCTGTATTATTTAGAAGTATACCCATTATTTGTCTCATTAGTGGAAGTAGGTTGATATATAAGATTTCATTTGGTATTCAAAGTTGAGTACTGAGTGCATTGATTGAGTGTCTTTTAACTTGATGGTAGGAATGAGGATACACTTATTTATACAAATGCTTATAGCTGTGGATTTAAAAAAATCATTTATGTGAAAATATCTACATATAGTATTAGGCAATCATACCCATTGACACCAATTGTATCACCCATGATCCAAATGGCCATATATATTTTCAATACTCATAAGTCGTGACTATTTTTCTGAAATCATGAATCTTTTTTATAAAATTATATTTTTCACAACATGTAATTATATGTTTTTACAATGAAGTATTTTATTTAATTAAAAATTGAAAGAAATACTTAAAAAAAATTAAGATTTGGTCATTATAATAGCCTTAAACCATTCTCATATGCCAATGTAAGCTATTATCAACCATAAATTTGTTTGAAGATATATATTGTTACTAATAGATTAGTATTTGATAATTTATATCTTTTAATTATTACATTTAGATTGATTTTTTACGATATAGTTAGAACAAAGTAAGTGGTAAATTTTAGCTTTCCATATTACCAATTGGTCAGTCCCTTGAAGTTTGTGATGACTATTAAGCCTGATGATTAGTTTGGTGTGATTGGCCATTTTCATCGAGAATTGTGGGATCCCAGTGAGTTTGTGAGTTTCATTATATCTCCAACTTTGCCGACGACCATTTTTAGTGTGAAGGAGTCAAGATTGGAGTGGTTGCAGGCCAGTGTGGAGGTTATTTGAAAGTTGTTTTTATGGGTCTACACCAATATCGTCAAGATGAGCTATTATTAGTGTGAGTATTTCATTTAGTTCAAGTACAATATTTTATATGCCTGGTGTTTTATTCCTTAAATGTTTGAACTTTATTTGAGGCTAGATTTGATGAATCCATTTATGGTAATTGTTTAGGTTTTTTTTATGAACTTATATATCTTTTGAAATTTAAATTATTGTCGTTTGTGAGAGACCGCTAATGACGTTCCATTAAAGCTTGGATATTGATTGATTGGTTAAAGTGCTTGCTAATTTGGGACATGGAATTGGCTGAACACATTTAGTTAGTTGTGATACCAAGTAAGCATGGTAGAGGTTGTGTTGTTCTTAATTGTCACACGAGTTCATACAAATGAACTTACAGGATAACTTCAGTATATGTGGCAATTGAATAGTTAAATGAGATAGAGGTTTACATATAAATATAAGTGAGGAGCTAGGAATGTATTTAGAGGCTGTATTAGGTGAAATTTGAGTTCGATTATCTATGTGCTGAGAGTTAGCATTGACAAAATTTTCTTTGTACCAATGTTTCATATAGTCATTAATTGAAGCTTTTCGAAAGCGTTAACCATCATATTTTCCATCAAATGACAATAATTTTCTTTTATAGTGAAGATTGACTATGTATGTATCATAGGAAGCAACTCTCATGTTGTCATTTATGGACATTTTTTTATATATAGGCAATACTTTGTTTGTAATCATATATGCAGTGGCGGAGCTATGTGGGGAGGTGGGGGGTGCTTGCACCCCCCTTACGCTTGGAAAAAATTTAATCAATTAGGAATTTGTGTGGGTTCAAACTAGTGATTATTTGATTATAGGGAGACTTCCTTGCCATCTCGGTCAAGTAAATTTGCTATGCAACTTGTTTTCGTTATTATTTACATTAGAGAACTGTCCTCAAACCTCTTTTTACGTCCCACAATCTCTAGGACCCTAGCATTTTATTTCTTATTCTTTGCCACTATCACTGATATCCACAGCAGAGAGGACGAGACGACATCCTCTACCTCGTCCAAGCCCCTTAGTCTCCAATTTTGGCCAATAGTTCGCCGGATTTCCACTGTCGCACTCATCCAAGGCACGTCGTCTCCAATCCGGCCAATTATAGTGTCTAGATATCGTTTTCATCAATGAAATATATCAAACATCATTTTCAAAACTAGATGAATGATTAGTGGTTGAGCGACACGTTGATGACATATATTGAACAAGGTTTGTGTGCTAGTTTGAAAAAAATGAGTTCTAGAATGCTTTAAAATATGAAATATCTTCGCAGTTCGGTGTAAATTGTGTACGTCAAACTATTATTTTGTAATTGTATGCATTTTGAGTATTGTGTTGTTGACTTTTTATTTCATTTAGAGTTCGATTTTTTTATTATATAGTTAATTATTTTATGATATGAAAAAAACACCCCTTGACCAATTTTCTGGCTCCGCCACTGCATATATGTTACAATTAGTTGCATTTTCTTTGTTAGTCATTTTGATATTTCTCATGTTTCAATGCGTTCAAAGCATATAAAGAGTAATTTTTTTTGGTGTGATATAAAGAGTAATTTGAGTATTGTGTAAATAGTCTATGAAAAAATACAAAGCAAAACACACATTATCAATGTGAATAACACATACAAATTATATAATTATCAAACTCTCCCGACCAGGATTGACATTGCGCTAGTTAACTAAAGAACAATAATAATATGTCACACGCTCCTCATTGGCAATTGGTGCTTGCTTTCCTATATTTTGAATTTTCTGTTTTCTTCCCGCTACGGATACTAGTGAAAGTGGTGATTGCTTGATTTGGAGCTTTAATTTGAATTGAGAGAGAGAGAGAGAGAGAGAGAGAGAGAGAGAGAGAGAGAGATTAGAGTGAGAGCCATTCCTAGTCAGAGAAAGGGGGAGCGAGAACGAACAGACGGGACAAAAGGGGATAATACGCAGCCATTCAATTGAAGAAACATCCATCTTAGTTGCAGCAGCAGCGATTTGATTGAAGCATCCCATTAAATTTCCGCCTTCGGTGAGAAGAGTTATGTGCCAGGGATTCTGTCTAACTCTTCTTTACTCTGTCGGTATTGACTGATCGAGACCCTAAGCGCCCCTTTTGAAGGAGGATTGAGAGAGACAGCGAAAGAGATTGAGTTCCCTGGGCGGATTATGAACGGTATGGGACGGCAGGGACAGAGATCTGGAGCAGGAACGACGACCACTGTACACCATCATATACAGTACTCCGATAACTTCGTGGACACCTCATCTAGTGGCCGATGGCTTCAATCTGCTGGTCTTCAGCACCTTCAGAACTTCTCTTCCGATGGGGCTTCTTCTATTCCTCCCCTCAGGTTTCCAGATCTCTCTCTCATCTCCGTGTCAGTTTCTTTCCCCTCTTTTCGGTTTATATTCATTTCACCAACCAGTAGCTTCGTTTGGTTCCTCGGAAAATTTGGTATGAGAAAATGTAACGGCCGATGCACCTTCAGTTAAACGATCTATTGACTCACTTTAACTTTAATGAACATGTGAATTAAGCTTTGTTCTGATTAGAGTCTCGAAACTACAAACCTATGTTTCTTTGTTTAGTAGATCTTGCTTATTTGGGCACGATATCTTGCTTATTTGGGCGCGAATATAAAGCTACTGCTGGTCTTCAGCACCTTCAGAACTTCTCTTCTAATGGGGCTTCTTCTATTCCTTCCCTTCAGGTTTCCAGATCTCTCGCTCATCCTCGTGTCGGTTTATTTCCCCTCTTTTCGGTTTATATTCATTTCACCAACCAGTAGCTTCGTTTGGTTCCTCGGAAAATTTGGTATGAGAAAATGTGACGGCCGATAATTTGGGCGCTATAATTTTCCCCTTTTCAAACTCCTGAAGGAGTGTTGTTTATTGTTATCCGTTACTATGTAATGCTACTTGTTACGATGCTACATTACGTGTCTCTGGAAGCAGGACTACAATTTCTATGGCGGCGGCGACGGGGGAGGACTAGGGCAGGGGATGAGGGTGTACCGCAATGCTCAGAGGGGGTTTAATGGCGGCGCTGAGTTGTATACTGAACCATCAACACCTCCAGTTAGTTCAAGGCAAACCGGCCAGAGGAAGAGCGGGGTAGAGTCTCCAACAGAGTTCAGTCCTGGGATTTTGGAACTTCACTCATTTGATACTGAGTTGCTTCCTGAGGTGGGTCTTCTGCTTCTTTCATGTTGTTGTGTTAGCTCGATGCATTATGGAATGAATTCTGGAATTCAAACTACAATTGTGGAATGATGAACTTCTGTAAAGGACTCACATTTCAGTCAGTCTGACTCCTCATCACTACTAAGATGCTTGACATATTTCCATTTAGCTTGCTTGTATTAAGATTTTTGGGTCGCTTACCATTTGAAAGTTTTATCTCATGGAGATTTGGTGGATAGAATTTTGTTTTTGTTTTTAAATGCCTATCCAAACCATTACTTCCACGTTCATCATACGGTTGACCTTCCATTTGTCAAAGTCGAGAAGTACCATTGCTTCTCTTAAGTCTTTACAATTTTATCTTTTAAGGGTATGCTTTTAACTGACACATGTAAGGCAATGCCTTGTTTGTTATCATGAGAAATTGTTATCTTTAGCTTCATAGTTGGCTCCCACTGTAGCAAACTGCACATCTTATGCCCCGATATTTTTTCAATCTTTCAGTTGGTACTAGAGGTTTATGTTCCAAATAGCTTGTACTTGATTTGTTGCCACATTCATTTTCATATTTTCTTTATGTTGGTTAGTTTCCAGTTTCAAAAATGTACGATAGATCTTCTCTTTTTCAACCTGGTCGAGCAAGAATCTTTGATGTTGCTGAGCCTAATGTTTCAAGCTGCCAGAGCTCCTGCTATACCAGATGACAACGTCCTGAAAAGTTTTGCAGCAGACAAGGAGAAGACCAGTTATGTTGCAAAGATAAAAGTGGTGGTGAGTGGGGATGTGATCTGCACTAAGTGCTTCCTTCTTATTTCTTATACCTATGTTTTCTGTTGTGTTTTAGAGTTGCATTCCTGTCAAATATTAATGATTTGCTATCTGGCCTACTTGTATGTAAGATCTGTGATGCTCAATTTGGTATCTACTGACACTATCTGAATACAGGTTCGTAAGAGACCAATGAATAAGGAGCTGGCAAAAAAATGTAGAGCATATCATCGACACACACAACAATTCTCTAACAGTCCATGAGACTAAACTCAAGGTAACCATAACAAATTAAGTTTATCCGTTAATCTCAAATTAAAGCATCTTGAAGGAATGCAAATTAGGGGAATGTGAAATGGCTTGATTTCCACAATGCTGATGTCTTAAGTTGGCAATTTCAGTGCGATGTATGAATGAAGGTGTTAGGGTAAACTTTGTAATGTTTGAAATAATAGGCAAATTTAGATTATACTCAAGAATGAAGTAATCTGGAAATAGATGTCGAGAAATTGAAAAAAGTTCTGTAATATCAAAATGATTAGGGAAAGACCATCAATGTCGATGTAGGTTTGATGCATACTGTGGCTGTTACAAGACCAGCAAAGTTTCTTCGTGCCTATTGGCTCTTGAATTTAACTGCAAGGAGCATTTGTTAACATATACAACAGATATAACAACTTTTAATTGTTTATTAAAGCATGTACGAGAACGTGGTATTTTGCTCATACCTTTTTGGATTTTTGAATTCCCAAAAAATAATTTCTTACTGATCTTACAATCTATATTTCATCCCTTGCAGGTTGATCTAACTGGATATATTGAGAAACATGAATTTGTCTTTGATGCTGTATTAAATGAGGAGGTATCAAATGACGAGGTCAGTATGGTGATGGAAAGTTTGCTAGTACACTGTATGTAAATCTGAAGTGTCTTTAGTAAATAGTAACAGCGGTTATTTGTTTCTCAGGTGTATCATGAGACAGTGGAACCCATAGTCCCAATAATTTTTCAATGCCTTAAAGCAACTTGCTTTGCATATGGTCAAACAGGTGAATTTCTGCCATCTAGAGTAATTCTTTCACATATGAAATGCAGAAGGGTTTCATATACACAATCGTGCAAAAGCTAAGTTAGCTAAATGCGCCTTGTTGTGATAATAGTTATAACTACTGTCATTGGAGTGGACCGCGTTTCAGAGAACATGATCATGTCCCAAATTTCACACATCTCTTGCTATCAAAACTTCTATTCCACATTGGTCATTGGTGATTGCTGGCCCCATTCAGAATAGCTTATCCTATTTAGATTTCATGTACCATGGATCTCGAGTGTCATAGTTGTCACTTGCTTCGAGCTGGCAACTTCTGTTTTCAGGAAGTGGTAAAACTTATAATATGAAGCCATTGCCTCTTAGAGCATCAGGAGATATCTTGAGGTTAATGCAACATACTTACCGAAATCAAGGGTTTCAGCTGTTGTTCAGCTTCTTCGAAATATATGGAGGAAAGCTATACGATCTCCTCAGTGACAGGAAGTGAGTTCCCCCCCCCCCCCATATTTTTTGAAGAGATCAGGAAGTACGTAGTGAAGTTTCTTGTGTTGTTCCCATTGTAGATATGTTCTGACCATTTGGGTTCTAATTGTGAAGGAAATTGTGCATGCGGGAGGACGGTAAGCAGCAAGTTTGCATTGTGGGTTTGCAAGAGTACAGAGTTTCAGATGTAAAGATGATAGAAGAGCTTATTGAGAGAGGAAATGCCACAAGAAGTACTGGCACAACTGGTGCAAATGAGGAATCCTCTCGTTCGCATGCCATACTACAGCTTGCTGTAAAGAGGACAATTGAAGTAAATGAAACAAAGCTCCCATGTCTGGTTAAGAAGCTCTATTTCATAGATCTTGCTGGAAGTGAACGTGGTGCAGATACTACAGATAATGATAAACACACAAGGTACAACGATGCTCTATAATATAGCTTTTCTTATTTAATTTGAAGAGGGGACTTGAAATTTGGATAGTTACTGCTTCTGATCAATTGTTCTATGTTTCATCTTGGTAATTGAATGTGTAGAATGATCAGAAGATAAAGGTTTTATGGAACTCAGTAGATCAAATTGTGTAGTTATGCCACTCTTTTCCATATTTCATATGCCAACTACCATGTTTTAACTGATTTGCTGTTATCAACTTATATAGTTTTATGTTGATAGGTATTGGGTGGTCTCGGTTTTCGGAGAGTTTCTATATATTATGCACATTTGGTTCAGTTTCTTTAATGTGGTCAAATATGTTACAAGATGGAGGGTGCAGAGATCAACAAGAGTTTGCTTGCACTAAAGGAGTGTATAAGGGCTCTGGACAATGACAAGAGTCACATTCCTTTCAGAGGCAGTAAATTAATTGAGGTTCTAAGAGACTCCTTTGTTGGCAACTCTCGCACTGTCATGATATCATGCATTTCGCCAAGCTCGGGCTCATGTGAGCATACACTGAACACATTGAGATATGTTGACAGGTGAATATATAATATGCTTAATGTTCCAATGTTAGGCATGTCGTCTTGATATCTCTTTGATTTTACAAAAAAAATTCTCCATATTCTTTCCAGAGTGAAGAGCCTTTCTAAAGGGAACACTTCCAAGAAAGATACACTATCTTCAACCTTAAATATGAAGGAGTCGATTGCTATGCCCCTGTCATCAATTTTGCCTGCCGGCTCGTCATTGGATGATGATGTAACTGATGCATGGGTTGAGCAAGATGAGGGAGATGACTTCAAGGATGTAGAGGACTATGAGCCAGAGAAACCAGTGAGGAGAGAGATTGGAAAGTTAGCAGAAGCTTACAATCCTCCACCTATCTCAGAGGACAAGTCTCGGAAACCCAATGGCCAGACTAAATTCAACAATCTACCAAAACCCACCAATATCAAGAAGTCAGAAGCAGATGACGATTTAAGCTCCCTACTAAAGGTAACTTTGAAAAGATACTACACCTCATATCAGAAAAAAGTCTTGAAGCTTTAGTTGATTCACGGAGCCCATTTATTCTGGGCTATTGTATTATTCTCAGGAAGAGGAAGATCTTGTAAGCGCTCACAGGAAGCAGGTTGAGGATACCATGAATATCGTTAAAGAGGTATGTCAATTCGTAAAAGAAAACAAAAAGGCCATTTTCCTCAACAGTCTCCCATACTCCATGCAGTCCTGAAGCTCTGAAATTACATATTGTTTTCCAATTATACAGGAGATGAACCTGTTGGTGGAAGCAGACCAACAAGGGAATCAGCTAGACGACTACATCACGAGGTTGAATGCCATTCTACCACGGAAGGCTGTTGGTATGCTGTAGCTTCAAAATCGATTGGCGCACTTCCGGAAGCGCTTAAGGGATCACAATGTGTTGGTGGCTTCCTCTGGTTATTAAGGAGTGGGGCGACATCTTCGTTAAGTCCGTGTCTTAAATCAATCTTCGACATGCCATCTTATAATTACTATTTCTACTACTGGGTTTGGCTTCTTTTCTTCTTCCATTTCATATATTGCTCACATTATGGCCTGTTCACTTTCATTTTTGTTTTCTTTTTCCTGTTTTCATGTCATAAATTTGGTAACCGAAACAAGAAAACTTGTTTACTTTTAATTCTGTTTTCTATTCGTTTCCAACTATGAAAACAGAAAGTGGCAACTTCCTGCTGTTTTCGGAAATGAAAAAATGTTGTTTTCACCTGTTTTCAACATTTGTTTTCTCAAAAACAGGAAACATAAATGAAAGCAAACATCCCCTTTTCTTCCTCCGACACCAAATGATAATAGAGGCCTAGAGCGAGGCATTGGGGATTTCTCTCCCCAGTGCCTTGAATCGGGGGCAAGCATTTGTATAGTTGTGAACTTGTGAAGATGGTGAAGTTCTATAATGTGATTTATTAATCAGAAAATAGAGACGCTTGTTGGAAGGTACCAATTCATAATTATCTTTCTTCCAAATATCGAGTTATTGGGATCAAACAATTCTAGATGTGGTATTAGTTGATTTGATAAAGCATTTGTGTATTCAAATTTTTACATCCTCCATTATTAACAGATGATTAAAGTATTGTCGTAAATCTTATGCCGGAGGTACACGAGTATTTAGATAGTAGTCAATGCAGCAAAAAATGCAATTCTATGTAGAAGCTTTTTGGTAAACCAGAAGAGTGTGAAAGTGTAAACTTCTAAGTTTTAACATGTGATTTTAACTAATAACTACATTAGTAAGGAAAAAACATTATTCTACGTAGAAGTATTTTGATGATCTAGAAATTTAAAATCGCAACTTTTAAAACGCGATTTTGACTACAATAGTAGTAGGGCCCTTTACATAAAACCCTATCATGACAGATACATGAAAATAACAATAGAAAGGAAACTAAACTATGAAGGTCTGCCCATCTCCATTGTATACCAGTAGGGATGACAATTAAACCCATGATCGTGAGTACTCGACCGCCTCAAATTCAGTCAACATGGGGAATCCCTGCTTTGATTGGGAATGGGTAAAACTCACAAAACATTTGATGGGTAATACTCATACCCTCCCCACCAAGAGCATTTCTTTACATATAATAATATATGGATGAAATTGTAACCTATCAATGATAGTGAGGGTAACTCAAGAAAATAAATAGTAAAAATGCAATTGAGTAGCCACCCAAATCAAAACCTAATTCATTGTCCTCGACTCTCGCTTCACTCTTTCATTTTTTTTCCTCGTGTAGTCATGTTAACAAGATTAGGTTAGTAAGTTATTACTTGGTAGATGTATGAGAGTCCGAGAATAATTATTTGGATTACATTGTATTCTATCTTATGGATTGTTGGATGTTTTAGGATAAGATGCTTTGAATAGTATTAAGAATGATTGTCTCTTTGTCGACTTCATGATATAGTATGTGCCCTTAATGTTATAATTGAAAATCTACATGTAAAATTTTAGGTATTATAATGTTGGATGTACGGGGCTGGTATTACCTATGGGTACCCAAAATCAACTGGTATGGGGATGAGTTTGCAAAAGCTTTCCCGCATGGGTATAGGGGCGGGTATGGGTTTAGATATTTGAAAGCGGGGATGGGGATGGTTTAGGAAAACCTACCCCAAACCCTCCCATTGCCATCCCTATTACCAGGACACAATATGGGTATGATCTTGGGATTTTTTTCCAATAATAGCACCTTTTTAAAAAAATTACAAAAATAGCACCTAGTCCACAAAAATTCCTAAAATAGCACATTCACATATAAACCGCACCTTCAAGGTGAGTTTTATGCGCAAACTGCACAACGGGGGAGCGGTCCATGCTAGTGCAGTTTGAAAACCGCACTGTCAGCGTGCGGTCTGCGATCCGGAGTCAGCGGTCCGCAGCACCGTTGGATGAGGAAACGATCCAACGGTTGACCGCGCGCCAGCGCAACGATCCGCGTCAGGGATCGAAGACCGCGCGCCTGGAGAACAGTCAGCGCCTCAGTCGCCGTGAACCGCGCTTTCCCTGAGCAGTTTTGCAATGGGCAAAATTACCAGACTGTCCGTGAAGGGTGCGATCTTATGGGTATAAATACCCCCCTCCCCCTCCTTATTTTTTCACACCACAACCCATTCTCCTCTCTCTCTCTCTCTAAAATTATCTCTCTATCCATCCCCCTCCCCTCCCAAAAGCCTAGGAAATAGTGGCCTGTTAGTTGCGGCTAAGTCCGATCTGCCATAAAAAAAACATTTCTTTGTCTTTTCCTTCAAAACCCGCTGAATCTTTGTCCGACTTTCGCGAAAAAATGGACGAGTGGTTCCAAGATGAGGGAATTTATTATGATGAATTTTTAAGCGGTATGTACTCATTACTAAATATTATTGTTATAACCTTTTCAATTAATTTATGTACTAATGTTGTTGTTATTCTCTCGTAGGTTGGGGACGACGTGATCCAACCGTGTTGTACGACCAAGGGCCTAGTGATCCAACCGTGTTGTATGACCAACCCAACCATCGTTCAAGGGATGTTTGGAACGATCACGAGGTACATACAATTCTTCATCATTTATCTCTTTTAAAGAGATGCATGCCTAGGAAAATGGGCTTTTAAGCGATTATCATGATCCTCCCATTCACTGGTAAAATCGGGTTTTAAACGATCCTCGGATCCCCCTTTTTCTGTCAAAAAGGCTGTGTTTCTAAGAAGATGTATACCTCTTCTAATAGTCTTACGAGTGTTGCATTGTATTCGATTAAATTATTTAAAACAACCAATACGATTAAATTATTTAAAACAACCAATATGATTAAATTATTTAAAACAACCAATATGATTAAACTATTCAAAACAACCAATACGATTTATCTGTATGTGTACAATTATTATTTTATTAATTTCAATTATTTTAATATGTATCTCTTTAAATTATTATTCATATAAAATGTTATTTAATTTATTAAGTATGTTTGCTTTATGAAATTATGAATATATCTGGGAAAAAACTTGTATTATTTTAATTTTTTCATTAATAATATAATTATAATTATAATAAAAGTATGGTCAAAGTTAATTCATTTATTTTAATTAATTTAGTTATAAAAAACTATTACTAGTATATCATAAATAACGTTAAATTTTTCGCTAGGAGGCATACCAAATACTCCGCTACAGGGGTACGACCAATGTGCTCTCATGGAACGACGTTATTTTTTCCTTTCTCAAAAAGGCACGGTTGGAGTCGATTAGGCATTTCGTGGGCATAAAAATCGATCATCAGCTCATCACCGCATTGGTGGAGAGATGGCGAAAAGAGACACATTGCTTCAACTTTCGCGAAGGAGAGTGCACTATCACTCTAAAGGACGTCGTCTTCCTAACCAATCTACCCATCGACGGCAAAGCGATGTGTGTGAGTGATCATGAGCCCGAGGATGTTGGAAATATGACCGGTTGGCAGCATTTGATCCATAGTGTTTTGGGGGGTGCGAGTGCCAATCAAGGGGAGCGTTGATGGGACAGATCGCTTAGCACCATTGAAGAAAAACCAAGTATCAATCACTTAGTTGACGAAGTGGTTGAAGGACCAACACGATCCTACAAAAGGCGGGGTGCCCCTAACCGAGGAAAGTCTCGAGGAGGTGAAGGAAAGATATGCTCGTGTCTATCTCATAGGCATGATCGGAGTAGTGTTCTTCTCCAAAAAAGCCAACAATTTACTTAGCCGTGGATGGCTTAGGATCCTCCTTGGTAGTTGGGATGTGATGGGGGAGTTGAGCTGGGCATCCGCTTGCCTAGCTAATATCTACCACCATTTGCGTAATGCATCACTCAAAGCTGTGAGGGAGGTTGGCGGGGCAATGTTCATCATTCAATTTTGGGCTTGGGAGCATCTGCCATGGATTGCACCGTTGAAACGTCCCGACAGGAATTGGCCCGTCGACCATCCTCTACGAGGTGAAGCTTATGGTTGTAGGTAAATTTCTCATACCCAATCATGGTTTTCATAAAACAATTTCGTTATTTAGTTATAACATTTCATTATTGTCTTACTAATAAGGTGGGTTGGAGCCACAACATGCGACAACCTTTCCCAATACAAGTTGGCGGAGTATCGGAGGAGGCTAGAGCGACTTTGGGAAGGAGAGGTAACTAGAATACTTCGAAATGTTATAACTTTTTTTATGGAGTACATGTATTTTCCAATTTCGTTTAACTTAAGTTTGTCATTTCTTTTTGTAGATCATTTACAATCCATACCCTGCCAACATCGTTACATGGCATTGCCAGCAATTTCCAGGTCATATCGGTCAATGGTGCATGAGAGTCCCTCTCATTTGTCACCATATCATGGAGTGGCATTTTTCGGATAGATGCCTCCGTCAGTTTGGTCGGGAGCAATGCATTCCTTTGGAGGTCCCCGAGAGTCAAAGAGCGTTTCACCACAGAGATGGTCGGCAAGGTGAGCAAGATTGGCCTTTGAAGGTGTCGAAATTCATCCGGATGTGGGAGAACCAACAAGATTTTGAGATTGTCACTCCTATAGTTGTGGGTCGAATGGGGTATCATGACCCATACATGGATAGATATCAACAACAATCGGTTAGGTACGTGACTCCGAAGGGTGCAGTTGATGGTGCATTGGTAAGTAATTCCGTGTAACCAACAGTTAAACTCTTAGGAGAGGTATACATCTCCTTAGAAACACAGCCTTTTTGACAGAAAAAGGGGGGATCCGAGGATTGCTTAAAACCCGATTTTCCCAGGGAATGGGAGGATCATGATAATCGCTTAAAACTCCATTTCCTTAGGCATGCATCTCTTTACAAAGAGTCTAACAAGTGTTGCATTGAATTAGATACAAGCTATTGTTATTTGACAAAACTAAACAACTAGAGAAATAGAGAGCTTACCAATCCACCATAAATTATTAGCAAGCTTCTTCCGCTTGAAATGATGGTTCCAATTGCTCTTGAAGTGTCGTATGCACCACCTTTGGGACCACTTTCAGGCTGGATCCAAACCTAAGATGGCAGCTCTGATGCCAGCGTGTCGATCAGATATGATTATCATGTTCGTTCTCCTGGTGATGTGGAGCTGAATTTGCCGGAAAAACCATCCATAGCTATCGATATTCTCTCCCTCAACAATGGCGAAGGCTAAAGGAAAGACTTGTCTGTTTGCATCTGCACCACTGGCAATCAGGAGATTGCCCTTGTACTTGCCGGTAAGGAATGTACCATCCACTTGGATCACAGGGACACATAATCCAAAACCATCAATAGATGGCTTGAATGCCCAAAAAAGACGTTTGAAATGACGTTTGTCACCGGGAGCTGGCGGTTGTATCTCTTCATCTTGGTATCGAGGGGAGAAAACCATGTCAGGGTTAGACGCCTCCAATGCCAAAATCAACCTGGGAAGGAATGCATATGATTCTTCCCAATCACCAAAGACGGCGGCCAGAGCTTTCTGCTTTCCATGCCACGCCTTCTTATAGTTGATAATATAACCATAACGACTTGTAATGTCAGCAATTATGACTTTCACCTTCAGGTCAGGATCTTGCTCAATTAGATGCTTGATAGTTGCGGCCACCACCCTTGATAGTCGATGGCCTTAGGATGTTCTGGATGACACACATGTGTGTGTGTTCACTGCACAGGATATGAGCCAATAGTCGTGTCTCTTGCTGTTGATGGCCCGAATCCTAGCATTGCATCCCTCTTGTTGATTACGACATTTGACTATGAGCCTCTTCGTGTTGGAATAAGTTGTGTGTCATTCAAAATGTCGAGTCATTGCTTCATTTTCAATGGCATGCCGCACCTCCTTCTTCGAACCAAATTGTTGGCCCTTCATAAACCCAGTGAGTGGACCCCATACTGGGAACTCTGGCGTCCCCATGTCGCTATCGACACACCAATTGTTTTCTGGAATATGAGTGTAGTACGAAATAGGTACACGGTCACGAGACACTTCATCATCATCTGAGTCTGACTCTAGGCCTCCTGAATCATCAGCACCTTCAAGAGGGTCGGAGCTATCTGCACTAACATTGCTCCCTTCTTTTTCATTGGAGGGTTCACTAACTGGTGCTGGCAGGGCATCTTCCATCTGATCCAGATCATGAAAGGCACCTTCATAAGCTCCGTAATGGTAGTTGTAAAAATGTCGTTGCCTGAATGGAAGTTGTACTCGGGTTGGTTGGCATGGTGCCGTTTAACTTATTCTTCATATGATGGAAAAGATTGATGATGAGCTTCACCTTGCTCTTGATACTGAAAGTAGGAATGAGGATTATGGTAACTTTGGTGGGGATGATCACCATATAATTCGCCTCCACCATGGATACCAAATGTTTGCCTGTCTCCGGAATGACCTCCAACACCTTCGACACCCTCGGTGTAAACGAACATCTCGGCTTTGGAAAGATTATTGAACCTCAAGAATTTGAGCATGGCATCTACTTCATCCTGAGTGGTTATGAGATATTCCTCATGCCACAACGACCCGCCTTCTCTGTTTGGATATCGGTATACCATACGATCAACTCTTCTCGTGCCATCCATGCAAGTAACGTTAGTACACATTTGATGGAGGTCTTCAAGCATCGGTCTAGTAGCGACCTTTATTTTCTGAAAATTGCCACCGACATAGTTGACCCCCTTTCTAGTCTCTTCTTTGAACCATTCCAACGTAACCCAAGTGTGAACTTTTGGAATGCCATCTGCAATAAAACCGTAATTCAGTTAAAATCATAAAAATCACAAATCACAATAAAAAGTAATTCAAAATAAACTTACGAGATAACGTTAATCGCAATAACAATAAAAGTAGGGTGCTACAATAGAAAATTGAAGAAGAAGAAGGAGAGGTGTGAAGAGAAGAGGTTTCCCGGGGCTGCCTTTTATAGGCTAAATCATCACTGAAAACCGCAGGGGAGGTTGCGTTTTCATCTGCATGGCCAACATGTCTGTCAACCTGCATGGCCAACATGCTGGTTGTCGGCAAACACAAACCGCACCCAGAGGATGCGGTTTGTGTTAGAGAAACAGAAACCGCATCCTCAACAAGTTGTTTTGCTAGGTCAACCTAAGAACCGCCTGTCCAAGGTGCGGTTCACGTTCTGAAAAGCAAACCGCACCTTCAGGTTGCGGTTTTTCAAAAAGGGTGCTACTTTTGGAATTTGTGTGGCATGGGTGCTATTTTTGTAAAAAAAAATGGTGCTATTTCTAGAAAAATCCCTATGAACTTGTCCCGAATGGTGCACACAATCTCGTAGTCTTCTGCTTCCATCTTGAGCCTATCAAAATAAGCAACTGCATCCTCAATCTCTCCCGCGTCTTCTTGAGGACGATAGAAGAAGTTGAAAAAACTTGCACAATAATACTATCTAGTTTCGGTCATCATGGGGTTCTTAGAAGACCCAACGACCAACTCTAATTCCTTATCAACTTGACATAAGAAACCACATCAAATAATCTAGTCCTCAACCTCACTAAACTCCAAGTTTAGAAAAGCATATCACAACTTTCATGAAACAGAACACAAGTGCCATAAAACACACTATGTCTCATAAAATACACCACAAATTCATTAAAGTATACCACAAAGCCTATAAAGCACACCACAAATTTATTAAAACAAGTTTCTTAAACTAGACAACAAGTATCTTGAAGTAGACCATAACTCCCTTGAAGCCAACCACAAGTTTCTTAAAAGTGAACCTATTTGTAAAATTTAAAAAGTTTAGGTATCAAAATGTAAGAGAAAAGTTTAGGTACTAAAATGTTATTTACTAATAATATTTTTAGGATTTATATATAAAAAATTAATTTTAAGGCACTAAATACTAAGATCTATTAAGTTTATGTACTAAATTGTGATTTGTATGTGAACTTCCATGGAAGCAACCTAAAATATTAAGAGGGAAGGGAAAGGAAAAGCATATGACAAGTCAGAAGGGGGGGAATGGGAAAGAGAAGCTGACTCGACTCTACTGTCACTCCAGGAATTGGCCAAGTGTAACCACTTCCTAAAGCGTAGTATAGCGGGTTTAGGTTTAATTATCAACCCGGGTCCTAGATCTGATGACTACTCAGTGAATTCTTGTTATCTAGCAATGAAACTGGAATGCAAGTTTAACTAACAAACTAACAAAGCAAGTAAACGGTTGTATTCAGGTTAAAGAGGTCACCCGGATATGGTTCCCCCTAGACTGCAGTTAAGCCGGATTGTAATTACCAAGTTCAGTTTCTATGATAGTTATACTGTGGAAGGTTCTTAAACAGTCTGAAGTCTCGACTAAAGGTCTTCAGACCCTCTCAATCTGAATCTCTAGCGGGCGACTAACCTCCACTGGAGTAGACAGATTGAGGCCCTAAGAACAAAACCTCCACTACCGGGGTAAATCCGGTACAGAATAGTGAGTTGGCTCCTCGACTAAAGTCACCAACTCCCTACCTTCAATCAAGGATACTCTATTAACCTAGGCAGATATTCTCATTCTAGGTTAAAGCAGAAACAACAGGAATTTGATCAGGATTCAGTCATTCAATCATTAAAACCTCAATCGAATATAATCAATCACAGAATCAGTACTTGGGTTCATACAATCAAAGCCTAACATACAAATCTAGGGTTCTCCATACCCAGATGAATGGGAGAACTACTCCATAGAGAAGAAAGCAAAAGCAGAATCAGACACGGAATTCATACTGCGAAGGATGGATTCCTGCTTCTGGACGTTGATTGGCACTTCTCCAAGCTCAAGCTGGCCTCCAATGGTGTTGAAGATCAATCTAGGGCACTTGGAGACTCTTGTTCGTCGCTTTCTCTCTCTAGAAATCGTTCTCTCTCTCAAAAACTCCAATCCTCCCGAATTGTGGCTGAAATTCTGCTTAAAAGGAGAAAATCCCGACTCACACGGCCAGGGTGGCACGGCCGTGCAGCTCACCCAGTTGCCCGTGTGAGTCAAAACGCATCGTTTCATTTAGTTCGAATTCCAGGCTCTTTGCACGGCCAGAATGGCACGGCCGTGTGGACATCCCCTCTTGCCCGTGTTTGCTCTCGCAGAATATGGCACGGCCAACCCGGCCACTCGCACGGCCGTGTCGATCCTCTGCTCTGCCCGTGTGTGCTCTGGGCAAAACTCGCACGGCCAGGCCATTACTTCACACGGCCGTGTGAACATCAGGGCAGCCCGTGTGACCTCCTTTGTGACTTGTCTCGCACCCGATCTTCACCCAATCGACCCCGAACTCGCTCCTAAACCTTCATTCACTTGCCAGGACCTGGAATATCACAAACAAGCACAACCTAGCGTGAAATCGGTCTAAAACACGAGAAACCACCTCTCAAACGGTGTAAGAACAGGGGTGAAAACATGTGTAACTAACGGTCTATCAAACTCCCCCACACTTAACCGTTTGCTTGTCCCCAAGCAAACCAAGTCAGACACAAGGTAAGCTCAAAACAACAAGGCATGACATATCGGCACAAAACACGTGGATCATACTGGCTTTCGATCAGTAACACATGGACAACTTCAATGACAACCTAGACAACCACCACTGATGACATTCGAATGCAGCAAAAATCGAGCAAAGGAAGAGTTTCCCTTCTGTTCACCAACCAACATAGACTTAACTCAACCACTTGTTCAAAACAGTTACATCATGCACAAACTTCAAGGTATCAGAAGTAAGACCGAGCAATCAAGGTCCTCACCGGGATAAAGAGTATAAAGAATAAGAGAAAATGAATCGCTCACTCTCGACCAGTGGGGTCAGGACAATATGATGCAAAAAATGCGCATGCTCAATCTCTCAATCCCTAACATCTCTTCATCATGAATGCAGCCTCTAAGTGCTAGAGTTCACAAATGTGGTGTCATCACTAACTAATCCGGAGGTCTTAGACACAGGTTCAGATGACTGGTTAGGGTCTTGGACATGGGGAAAAAGCCTTTTAGGTGGTGGAAGTATTCATACAGCACAAGGTTCCACATTTCCAAACCCAACAGACTCACAATCAATCAGACCAGAAACTTTCTTTCTGCTACTCTGCATTACTCAAATTTAGAACACAAGAGCGAAGGAGGTTACATAAATGCTAGTATTTCTAAGCCAGACTGCTAAGAAACACTACTACATGGGCATTATTCAGATTTTTAGTGGTGGCTCTCTTTTGCTTTCATTTTTTTTTCTTTCATTATTTTCCATTTCTTAAGAGAACCACCACCTCTGCACAATTTCAAACACCTGCCCAACTTTTAAGCACTACCTCCAACCCTCACATTACGTTTAGCAGAAACAGCAGAGAATATGTAAAAACCACTCTGTGGAACCTTCTAAAAGATGCAAAGGGTGATTTTTTTTTCATTTCAGACCAAAAGAAAGGATAACACACGGCTCAAAGGGGCTGACTAGGGGGTATGACACACTAGGACAGTCAATTTGGTCGTGGGCTAATCCTATGCCTCATCATCTTAGCTAATGACAAAATGAATGCTGCACATCATGGAAGAGGAAACTATCGCACAAGAAAGAAACGAGCAGGCTCAAATCTCACATGGCTACCTATATGCTCTATCTCTCGTTCTGATTCCCTGAAGTAGATGCATAAATGACTGTCAAAAGCAAGTGATCAAACCAAGTCACATTTGGTGAGAAGACAGTTGAAAAACTGAACCCCTACACAATTCTACTGCACATCTCAGTCATCACAATAAGTTGTCTAAGCCACACTCAAGTTGTTATGTATCAAGTCAAAAGCCATTCAATTCTCTAATCACATCCACAGTGCCAATATGATCAATCATCAAGCAAACAGCCGTGCTTGGAGCCCTCAAATCTCGAGATTTGGACAGTGGACTAGGCTCCAAGCACACAAACAGATCTAATGCAGTCAAAAGATAAACATCCCCCCACACTTAAGATCGACATTGCCCTCAATGGAGAAGAGGGAAGGGAAAAGGGAAAGATGTTACCGGGATGCACGGACTGCAGGGGACTGGAAGCGGACCAGTCGGGGCGAGCACAGCCAAGGGGAAACAGGAGAGCTCAAACACAATATGTTAGGTTCAATGGTCAGCCCAATAAAATATCATCCAAACCAAAAGAAAACAAACCAAACCCAAACCGGGTAACAATCCGACTCAAAACACAAGAAAGAAAATCAAACCGTGGTGGGGTTGCCTCCCCACAAGCGCTTCTTTACCGTCTTTTAGCTAGACGCCAATTGCGGATACTCAGGGCGGTGCAGGAACAGGTGCCTCCAAGAGCGGATCCACGTCGCTCTTGAGGTACAGCTTCAGGTTGTGGCCATGCACCCGACGGATGCGACCACCCTCATCAGTCAGCTCGACCTGCCCATCTGGCAAGATGCAGGAGAGCGAGTACCCAGACGGCCAGGGTGGTCGTGGTGCAGGAGGTGGGACCAGCTCATAGTGGTCTCCACTCTTCTTCCGTGCAGGCTTAGCAACCTGCTGCTTCGGCCGCCACTCCTCCTTGAGCTTTTTGTTCGGAGGCGAGGCTGGATGGAGTGGCGGCGAAGGAATGATAGGAGGGTCCTGCAAAATAGGAGGTGCAGAAGGGTACACGACAGACTCGTGTACCTGATCAGACATAGCATGCACAGGCGTGACAGCAATCATAGCATAGTGATCAAACTCAGTCACAGAAAAAGTAGCCTGTTCATCCCCAGCACGCAAGATCAACTTACCATCATGCACATCAATTAGTGCCTTGGCGGTGGCAAGAAATGGCCTACCTAGAATCAAGGGCACATCCACATCCTCATGTATATCAAGAATAACAAAATCAACAGGATATGTGAATGTACCTACTTTAACAAGCAGATCCTCAATGATACCCTTAGGATGCACGATAGAATGATCAGCTAATTGAATGCTCATCCTAGTAGGGCTAAGTTCACCTAGGTCTAGCATTTTATACAACTTATATGGCATGACGTTAATGCTAGCGCCTAGGTCCGCCAAGGACTTTCCTACATGCATGCTGCCAATAGTAAGAGGGATAGTAAAACTCCCTGGATCCTTGCGCTTCTCGGGCAGCTTGTTTTGCAGGATAGCAGAACACTCCTCACTGAGCATCACTGTCGAAAGATCCCCAAGTTTCTTCTTGTTGGTGCAGATATCTTTCATGAACTTGGCATACTTGGGCATTTTCGACAGTGCCTCCATGAACAGTATGCTGATGTTGAGCTGCTTCAACATTGCCATGAACTTGGCAAACTCAGTCTCCAGCTTGTCCTTGTGTAGGCGAGTGGGGAAGGGAAGCTGGGGTACATGCTCCTTAACCACTGGTTGTGGCTTGGGAGCAGGGGCTTCCTTCTCCACTCGCACTTCTGCATCGTCGGCTGGAAGTGCTAGAGCAGGCAGTGGTTCCTCCTGTCTGGCCGGGACAGGATCAGCAGATATGGTCTTACCGCTCCTGGTAAAAATGGCATCCAGCTGCTGATGCTGGTGAGGATCTCGAGGATTAGGAACAGTGGTGGCAGGCAGAGTGCCCGGTGCCCTGGTAGTGTTTTGCCGGGCCAAGATGCCCACCTGGGTCTGCAGATCCTGCAAAATGGCAGCCTGGTTCCGCTGACCTGCCTCCAGTGATGTGATAGCAGCCTGGGTGCTAGTCATGAATGAAGCTAGAATGTTTTCCAGCTTCGTCATCCTGTCGTCTGGGGCCGGAGCTGCTGCTGGCTCGGCGAACTGGCGCTGGAGCTGCTGGAATGGCTGCCCCTGCCTGGGCTGGTAGGGCTGCTGTGGGTCTGGCCCCTGGCGAGCCTGGAAGGGCTGCCTCTGCTGAAAACCACCTGCTGGTGCTGGGAAACCAGGTGGTTTAGTGGTGTTGCTGCTCCAGGCAAAGTTGGGATGCTGGCGCCACCCCTCATTATATGTGCTACTGTATGGATCGAGGCGCCTCGCATTGGCGATGAAGGCCAACTGCTCCTGGGGTGTGGTAGACTCCCTCATAGCCTGGCAGTCCTCCACTAGGTGACTGGAGCTCTCACACCACTGACATTAAGCTACTGGAGGTGTAGCCAAACCTCTGCCCGGAATCAGACTGTTGGGCTGCTTCAATGTCTGCACTAGCTCAGCTACCTGCTGCTCGAGCCCGGATCTGGTCTCCATGGCGTGCACACCACGGTCCCGGGACTGTCTGCCTCGGCTACCCTGTCCCCAAGAATGATCTCTGGCAGCCAAAGTACTGATCATCTGGTTAAGCTCGGGTGGAGTCTTGGTAAGAATATCCCCTCCTGGGCATAGAGACTCAATCACCCTCTGGCTATCTGGCGAAAGGGCACTGTAGAAGTTCCCCACTGTGAATGCATCACTGAAGCCATGATGGGGGCACTGTCAGAAATAGCCCATGTACCGCTCCCAAGCATCACGAAGGGACTCATCTAGCTCTTGGAGGAAGTGAGTGATCTCCCGCTGAATCTCTGTAGTCTTCGATGCCAGATAGTACCGGTGCACGAACTTGTCAGCCAGATCGTCTCAAGAGGTGATGGACAATGGGGGCTGGGTCTCCAACCACCTCTTAGCATTCCCCGCCAGAGAATGGGGGAAGAGATGAAGGCGGATTGCATCATCCGGGACACCATTCAGCTTGAACCCGTTCGTCAGCTGCAGAAAACGGGAAAGATGCACCCTGGCCTCCTCATTCTTCAAGCCATGGAACTGGATAGATGATGTAATGAGCTGAATCCAGCATGGCTTGATCTCGAAATTGTTTGCTGGAATAGGCGGGTAGAGGATGACCGGGCGGATGTCAGCAATCCGCGGAGTGTAGTAGTACTCCAAGGTGGGGCCCGGCTGCGGGGGATGATGAACTCCATGGTCCTGGGGTATGGGGTTGTTCCCTAGGACCTGATTCACCGGGGGAGCCTGCTGAGGATTCCCCTGGTGTTGATTGTAGTCTGCCATCTCGTACTCCTCCTCAGAATCACTGCTCACGTGGCCGTCTATGCGCTCTTCCGTAGCCAGTCTAACTCGCTGTTGTCTCCTGAGCTGGCGACAGGTGCGGTCAATCTCTGGATTCAACGGCAGTAAACCTCCTGACTGGCTACGGGTCATGCACTACCTGCACACACTCAAGCAAGAAACCCGTGAAGGCACAAGTGGGACAAAGCAAACAAAGCAGAAAGAAAGGCTAAATTAACAGAAATCACTTTTCTTCAACAACCTAGCCGTCCCCGGCAACGGCGCCAAAAACTTGACTCGACTCTACTGTCACTCCAGGAATTGGCCAAGTGTAACCACTTCCTAAAGCGTAGTATAGCGGGTTTAGGTTTAATTATCAACCCGGGTCCTAGATCTGATGACTACTCAGTGAATTCTTGTTATCTAGCAATGAAACTGGAATGCAAGTCTAACTAACAAACTAACAAAGCAAGTAAACGGTTGTATTCAGGTTAAAGAGGTCACCCGGATATGGTTCCCCCTAGACTGCAGTTAAGCCGGATTGTAATTACCAAGTTCAGTTTCTATGATAGTTATACTGCGGAAGGTTCTTAAACAGTCTGAAGTCTCGACTAAAGGTCTTCAGACCCTCTCAATCTGAATCTCTAGCGGGCGACTAACCTCCACTGGAGTAGACAGATTGAGGCCCTAAGAACAAAACCTCCACTACCGGGGTAAATCCGATACAGAATAGTGAGTTGGCTCCTCGACTAAAGTCACCAACTCCCTACCTTCAATCAAGGATACTCTATTAACCTAGGCAGATATTCTCATTCTAGGTTAAAGCAGAAACAACAAGAATTTGATCAGGATTCAAGTCATTCAATCATTAAAACCTCAATCGAATATAATCAATCACAGAATCAGTACTTGGGTTCATACAATCAAAGCCTAACATACAAATCTAGGGTTCTCCATACCCAGATGAATGGGAGAACTACTCCATAGAGAAGAAAGCAAAAGCAGAATCAGACACGGAATTCATACTGCGAAGGATGGATTCCTGCTTCTGGACGTTGATTGGCACTTCTTCAAGCTCAAGCTGGCCTCCAATGGTGTTGAAGATCAATCTAGGGCACTTGGAGACTCTTGTTCGTCGCTTTCTCTCTCTAGAAATCGTTCTCTCTCTCAAAAACTCCAATCCTCCCGAATTGTGGCTGAAATTCTGCTTAAAAGGAGAAAATCCCGACTCACACGGCCAGGGTGGCACGGCCGTGCAGCTCACCCAGTTGCCCGTGTGAGTCAAAACGCATCGTTTCATTTAGTTCGAATTCCAGGCTCTTTGCACGGCCAGAATGGCACGGCCGTGTGGACATCCCCTCTTGCCCGTGTTTGCTCTCGCAGAATATGGCACGGCCAACCCTGCCACTCGCACGGCCGTGTCGATCCTCTGCTCTGCCCGTGTGTGCTCTCGGCAAAACTCGCACGGCCAGGCCATTACTTCACACGGCCGTGTGAACATCAGGGCAGCCCGTGTGACCTCCTTTGTGACTTGTCTCGCACCCGATCTTCACCCAATCGACCCCGAACTCGCTCCTAAACCTTCATTCACTTGCCAGGACCTGAAATATCACAAACAAGCACAACCTAGCGTGAAATCGGTCTAAAACACGAGAAACCACCTCTCAAACGGTGTAAGAACAGGGGTGAAAACATGTGTAACTAACGGTCTATCAGAAGCATAACACAAGTTTCTAAAAGTATACCATAAGTTCATTAAAGCATACTACAAGTTCATTAAAGAATAACACAAGTTTCTAAAAGCAAACCTTAACATTGGACTTATTTATAAATTTTTAAAAGTTCAGGTATCAAAATGTATGATAAAAGTTTTAAGTACTAAAACATAATTTATATTAATATTTGTAAAAAAATGATTTTAGGCACTAAATAATAAGATATGTTAATTTCAGGTACCAAAACTATCATTTGTACACAGTAGCTCAATCAAAGCTACATGGGAAGGGGAAAAGAGAATGATAGTTACCATAATACCCTTATTAAAAGTGTTAGTAAGGTGCTAACACTAACACCATCTCCAATAAGGGAGTGCAAAAATACTAGAATACTAGATAAATTTCACACTTTAGCTCACCAAAAGTGAGTTTTACTCCAATAATGTAGCTTAGTGTAGATTTCAATTTTATTTTTTGATGGTTAATCAAAAATTGCATTAAGCTCAAGCTTCTTATAGGAGGGGAAAACCCCCTATGAGAGCCTCTCAAACAAATACAAACCGTTCATGGGCACAACACACAACAGCTGTGAAACAGGCGAGAACGGAGGGATGAAGTTGATATGCCGAGCTACTTGGAGCCTTGCTGTGAGCTCCAACCCTCCTGGGCACAACACACAACAGCCTGAAACAGGCTTCCCCCTAGCTAGAAGTTTATCCATGGTACACAGCCTCCCCATCACAGCTAACCATAATATGAAACCGTATCTTGGAATCACCTCCCTACTCCATATCAGTTCATTCCAGGGAACAAGTGGACCATAAGGTCGAATAGTTTAGCAAGTGCTGCTAAATCCAAGAGCCCGCAGCTCCACACTTCAAATCCCAGAAAGACACATGCTTAATACGATAACGCTTCACCCACGCAACCCACAGGGAACCACTTGAAAGAAGAACATTCCAAGAATGCCTGATAACACAGGCCTTGTTCCATATAACAAAATTTATAATGCCAAGTCCACCCCTTTTCTTTGGACGAGCAAAAAGATCCCAAGCAACCAAAGCCCTCATCCTCAAACTGGAATAAGAAATATCCCACAAAAACTGATTGTATATTCTCACAACCTCAGTAATAACAAACTTTGGAAGGATGAATATATTCATCCAATACTGCAGGATGCTATAAAGCGCTGAACTAATCAGCTGGACTTTACCCGCGAAACCTAACATTTTTAGCTCTCCAACTCTGAGCCCGATGTGTAATTTTATCAATCAAAACACGACAATCCCTTCTAGATAACTTGTTGGTTATCAAAGGCACCCCCAGATATTTAACCGGAAGCTGCCCAAGTGGAAACCGTGAGTAGACAGAAATGCTAATATTTTCTTCCTCATGGATTCCTGCCCAAAAGAGCTGACACTTCCCAGGATTGCACCGAAGACCAGACAGACTATAAAACTCATCAAGCAATCTTGTAACTCCTGCCACCCCCCTAGTAGATCCATTTGTGAATACTTACAAATCATCAGCGAAACATAAATGTGTGATAGCAAGAGGTTTGCATCTAGGATGATAAGGAATTTGATTCTCAAAAGCTGCATTCTTAACAAGACCATCCAAAACTTCCATAGCAAGGGTAAATATATAGGGAGATAAGGGATCACCCTGTCTTAGTCCTTCTGCATACCAAAAAACCCACACAACCACCCTCCATTAATCGAAACACTAATCATAAGGGTGCAGACACAAGCTCTAAGCAGGTTAATAAACTTTCCTCTGATTCCCATTGCAGTCAACACATCAAATAGAAAGCACCAGTTAATAGAGTCAAATGTTTTCATTAAGTCAATTTTCATCACACAACGTGAACTAATTGACTTAGAATGATGGCATGTTACTAGTTCAGAAGCAAGCAAGATATCATCAATGATGGATCTACCTTTTATTAAGGCAGACTGAGAGTGACTCACCAGAGAAGGTAACACACCAGCCAGCCGATTAACAAGAATCTTTGCATTGCCCTTGTACAATGTGTTGTAGCACGAAATCGCCCTAAAGCCCTTCATATGAACCTCATTTTCCACCTTAGCCACCATCGTAAATACTGTTGCATTAATCTTTCTTGGCATAAACTCAGACTGATAGAATTGAGTGATGATATTTACCACATCAACCTACCCAATGAAACAGGTAGAACTCAACTGGAAATCCATCCGGCCGTGGGGCCTTATCTCTGCCTAGTTGTTTGAATACTTGAAAGATCATCCTCAGTTATGTTTCTATTCAACATATCATTATCACTATCAGAGATCTTGTGCGTTAGAATTTATTCATAAAAAGCTACTGGAGCCCCCCTAATATTCTGATCCACCTCACCAATCAGATGAGTATAAAAGTCAATAGCAGTTCTTCCAATTAGTGACACATCAGTTATTGGAGCAATTCCAAACAGAGAGACCAACGGGCTACCGCCACCGACGGCTCCCGATGGGGCACCGTCAGCAGCAACCGCCATCAAAATCGAGATGAAACCCTAGCTCAGAGAGGAAAAAAGAAGAGAGAGAAGAGAGACTAGATTTCAACATTTTAACTAGATAATTTGTTGATTATTTTATATAGATAGTAATAATTAATTAAGACAAAATTGTGATGTAATTTTTTTCAATTTGGACATAATGTTTTTCATTAAATATGATGTTATCACTAACAAAAAACACAGTAGTTAAATTCAGTCCATCATATGTTTATCAAAATGAATTAAATATCAACCAAGAAAGACAATTAAAATCAAAACAAATACCACTAAACATGATCTAAATTAATACATGAACCAAAACAAACAATTAAGAGCCAAAACAATAACAAAGATACAAGACGATGATCTAAAGTCTAAACTAGGGTAATGACTATTTATTAGCCAAATCTTTTTCAGATTTAGAATAAGAAATTTATTTTGAAAAACTATGTATTATATAGTTAATAATTATTCAAATGGATTGGGTGGAGTTCGGGTTGAGTCGGTCGCGTCACGGATTAGTCTGGTTCGGGTCAATTAGACTCGAGTTAATTGGGTTGCAGGTTTAATTGGGTTGCGTGTCAATCGGGTTCGAGTTAATCGAATTGCGAGGCAGTCAGGTTGTAGGTGAATCGAGTTACAGGTCGGGCGAGTTACGAGTTATTGACTTTTAATCTATTTAAATTGCGGTTGGGTTACGAATCTGATTTATCGAGCGGATTAGTCGGATCGAGTTCTGTTTTGAGTTTTGACACCTCTAGTGACAACTATGCTAGAAACATAGAGTAAGTGCCCGCACTAGTAACGGAGCTCCTTCCAAACCCAAAAACTTGGTGACTTGGTCCATGTTAATGAAGGGTGCCAACGGTCCAGGTCCATACTTGCAAGTAATAGCCCACGTCGGGGCCCCAAAAGATCCGAGACCGTAAAAGCCCACGCTCACACGCTGGGAGTTCCTGCGCCTTTTCCTTTCATATAACCCTGAAAACCCTAGCATATAAATCTCTCTCTACCGCGGCTCTCTGGTTCATCTAAGCTTTATTAGAAACCGCGCATCCTCCCTCCTAGGGTCTCTCTGCTGCATCTGCTCCAATGGTAATCAGCTCTCCTCCTTATCAGCTCTTTCCCTCTCTGTCTATCTTCCTTCTGTTTTTCTTCTTCCGTTGAGGTTCTGATCTTCTTTCATATGGTGATTTCAGGGTAAGGGTACTGGGAGTTTTGGTAAGAGGAGGAACAAGACCCACACTCTATGTGTGAGGTGCGGCCGCCGCAGCTTCCATCTTCAGAAGAGTCGCTGCTCCGCTTGTGCTTACCCTGCCGCTCGCTTGAGGAAATGTATGTCTTTGCTTCTTCTACTTCTCTGATTCGTTTTGTGTTGTTTTCTTTAAGTTATGTTCCTGTTCATAATTTGTATTCTGGATTATTGAATTTGAAAATAGAAATTTCACTATTGAGACTTCGGTATGAGTTAGCAATCGATGTATTCTACGCTTCGTGCTGTTGGTTCCTTGCGTTTAATGAAGTAGGCACCTTTTTGCCGTCCATTTGGCTGTTGTTTCAGCTCTCTGCGCAGTTTAGGTTTCGGTGTAAGTTCAGGTCAGATGGTTTGTTCTTAATATGGTTTCTTATCACTGCAATTGAGTCTGTATGTAGTATTTATGTTGGGTTGAGGATAACCTTGGTTAAAGCCATTATATATGTCATTTGACTGCTTTACATGATGATGGTTAAATGGATTTCGGTGTTCTATTTCTAGTCAGCTGCCATTTCCCCCCATTTTGTATGAGCTACTGTTTCTGCAAAGTTAAGTAAATATGGATGGTGTAATCATTATAAGCCTTCCATTGGACTATGTGAAATGTTATTTCATGTTATGTTAGCTAGGTTTGTCTTGTGTTGTGACCAAGCCACTATCGTTATGGTTGTTAGATAACTGGAGTGTGAAGGCTATCCGCCGAAAGACCACTGGAACTGGAAGGATGAGGTACCTCCGCCATCTTCCCCGCAGGTTCAAGAGCGGTTTCAGAGAGGGTAAATGAATATAAAGCCTATCCTTCTGGTCATCAAATAAAACTGCTGCATACTTTCAAGTGTAGATGAGTGTAATTGAGATATTTTCTCTTTGATCAGGTACTCAAGCTGCACCAAGGACAAAGGGAGCTGCTGCTTCCACTTAAGAAGAGAAGTCCTCGTGGGATGCACAATGCTTAGGCAGGCCTTGAGTTGTGCTCGAACAAGATTGACTGGAACATTGTTTTATGTTATTCACTTTTCGGCGGTCTGCTTAGAGGCAAACTTTAGTCTTTTTTATATTGTAGCTGTTGCTTTCACTCTGGAAGAGATTGCTGAGACAATGTATTTCGTCAAAGGTTGCTATGAGTATTTGAATTTTGATAATATGGTTTTGAAGTTTTCAGTTTTTCCGAGATAAATTAGTACTGGAGTGCTTTATTGCCAGATCTGTTTCTAGGTTTATCACAGTTGCTTTCTAATCCTTGCCAGACGAGAGTAAATGCTGTGTCCGATGTGTCGGACTCTTGTGAAATGCATCATTTCATTTTGCTGTTTGCTCTTCGTTTAGCTTCATGAAAAATAGATTTTAGGTACCAGCCATTTTGCATCGAGTTTTTCAGTTTATTGCTGCATCTTTGTTTGCTCATGAACTGTAAGGTACCACTTTACCAGACTACCAGTCTCTTCGTATCAAGTTTTGCTGTTTATTGGAGCCATTTACTGTTTGTTTTGCTTCATAAACCATAGGTTTGAGGTTCCAGTCTCTTCTCATCAAGATTTGCTTGAAGTATTTGTTGCTTCATACACAAACCATTGCAATAACCAGTTAGTCACTATTTCTCTGTTTGTGGTTTACTTGAATAAATGCAGGAATCCCATATCTACGGAGATTCTGTAGGACTTAATCGCCAAATGCTAAGCTAATAAATGTATTTAAAATAGGTCATCAGAGTTGCGCTGAAGTCTCAGACGTGAATGATGTAAATTTTTACCATTGCCTTCCTACGTGAATGATGTAAATTTTTACCATTGCCTTTGTCGAGGGACCTGCTGTATGAAGGTTTAAATTGTTATCACCACGACAATGGAAAGAATGAAAGGGGCTGTGTATCACTATTAGCTTTACACTAAATCTCTACTCTTTTCTTCTCACAAATGTACACAAAATTCACTCAAGTTGTGTTACAATTGTGTATTCGTATAAGAAGGTAAAAAGAGGTGATGTTCCGATTGGCAAAAACTCCTAGCGAGGACTAGGATCAAGCTGCAGAGAGCGACCACACGATGAAAGCCAAGCTGGCTTCAGGAGGTATGCAAGCATCAATCCCACTGTACGTGAAGAATACCTCAAGCTGTTCTCCACACTGAATGGGGACTCACTCTGCTTTAAGCTCCCCAAATTTGCTCTTTTCTTCATGCAATTGCCTGAACACATAATCCATCTCTGGAAATGTCGACAGAAGCACCAGCTCGATGAGATCATAAGCCAGCTGCTTCAAACAAACTGGTGACTGCATTATAAACACAACACCAGGGCGGAAAACACATATTGTCATCTTGGGTAATTATTGTCTTATACAAAGTAAGCGACATGTGTATCAAGGTATGAACACGAGAATAATTAACAACCTGAATAAAGAAGTATACATCTTTGACACACTGCTCATACTCTTTTCGGCCAACAAGACCTACTACTGCAGTTGGTGCATTATCTGCATAGCAAAACAGATTTTCAGTTGGGGGCGTTGATGCTGATCACAAGCATCCAATATATAGAAATCGTTGGCTATATGAACATAGAGACACATAAGATACTTTATTACCAATCATTAGTTCATAAACAAACTTGGCACGTCTCTCTGCTTCCCTTTGTTGATCCTCACTCAATTGGGGGGTAGCCAAAACTGAGGGTTGTCGGGTATAAGTTGGACTTGGTTTTGGTGAAGAAGTATTCACTAGTTTTTTCTCCTTGTGAAGGGAGCTAGTGGGTGTATCAACAGGAGATGGTGGCCGTCGACTTGGGTGTTTGGTTATGAATATCCCATCAGGCCAGAGTATCTGCTCAAATCAGAGAGGGAAGGCATCAGAAATCTAAGTGTGAGTTTAAGTAATTTATTTTGCGGAGGCTTATGCACAAAATCAGTAGCATTTAGTAGGAAGTCCAAATAAAAAGAAAAGTGGGAGCAACCTGCTCAATCCTCTTGATCCCTGAAGCAATGACAGAACCTCTACGAAGGAGCTGGATTTTCTCTATCAACCAATCATCCAAAGCATCCCCCATTCCCAGTTGTAACACCTGTTTAGCCATCCAAAATGCTTTCCTCCTGTACCATTGATTGAACATAGCTCAGGACAATCATGACGCGATGAATCACGTCACACCATACTACCTGTGACGGGCAAGAAAATAATGCATTCATGATTGAAGAAGTCGGATAACTAGTACCTGATCCATCCACCTTCTTGCATCTGGAAGATGACACCAACCAAATCTAAGAGAGGGAGTGCTAGGTTTGGTGGCACCCACTGCAATGAGGAAAAACAAAATGTGAGCATCACATTTCTTCTTAATCGAGAGTTTCAGTAACACTTACATAGAAAGTGGGCCAGTCACTAGTTACTACCTCAGGAGGAATATTAGAATCTACATGAAGCGACTTCGCTGCTTCCTGCAAGCCATTGCTTTCACTCCTTTCTGCAGTATTGCCTAAATTTCTGATTCATGAAACATTGCTTTGGACATCTGAATCACTGTCTGAATTTTCAAGAGGTTTTGGGAAATCTTTACCAAGCCTGTTGCGCATAGAACTTGGCGCATTGTTCCTACTCTCCTTGACGTTGGGTGGTGCAAAATTAGGCTTCTCCATTTTTAGCAGGTCCTTTCTGTTGAAGGGGTCTGTTGCAGTTCCAGTAAAATTTACAGCCTTCTCACTATATTCAGATGCCTTATCCCCAAGGTCAACTAGAAAGTTACAATCCAGAGGAGGAAGTCCAGAACATGAAACCCAGAGAGAAAAAGAAAAAAAATTAAGGAAAATAACAGAAAAAATGTTGTTGGAGAATGGAGATGACATCAAGAACGTCTGCCCTACCTGACAATGTTTCGATGATAGAGAAGGAACTTGAGAAACTGTATGTCTGCATTACGGAATCAACACCAAATTATTCCAGTAACCCTTGGTGAGATAAAAGTCGGAACAGAAGAGAAGAGTCAAAAGAACAGGTTCAAAGGACAAATAGGATACTTGAGAATCAACACTAAGGAAGTCCCAGATTTCAATAGATCCTGAAATTTTAGGGGTTTGAAGCAGCTTCTGCAAAAAGAACAACATGTTACAGTTCGGTACAGGTCGAGATAAAAGAATAAGATACAAATTAAATGCTTATGTGCTTTCATATCTATCTCCGCAGATATTTTATCTCCAGTCAGGTAAATAATACTAAAGCACTAAAGCTGGGAAGAGATCTAAGACAAATCATGTCCAACCTTGAGATATCTGTCAAGTAACGTACAACGTTCTTGAATGACAGGCTCATCTAAACCTGTTGAGAGAAAATGCTTTGGTGGCAAATGAAGGCTATACTCTGGATACTCTTTAAGACGTCGATGCAACTCCTCAAAATGACGAAACCTGTTCAAGAGAGCTAAAATAAATAAGGTTTGCCAGTCGCAACATCGAACATGGAGCAAAACGTAAATCAGAGAAGAAAAAAGTATATACTGTAGTGCATAATTAGAAAAAGACGAAAATTTGACAAATTGCAGTAACACCTTCTCTTGATTGACCAACTGTTACCATTAACGTCAGTAACTGATATGGAATATACAGCAAACGTCTTGGAGTCACTCTTCACAATATTAGCACCCAATACCTGTAGAAACAATTTGGCTTACTTTTGCATTTGTCAGCATTTACAAAATTAGCTAAGCAACTGAAACAAAACAAATACCATGAATGTAATGCAAATACCTCGCATCTCAACTTAAAGAAAGAATCTAACATCATTGCTCTCATAGCACTTGCAGAAGGGGTATGAATTTCGACATTAGGAAGGGAGGCTGTCGATGAACAAGCCGCTGTTCCAGTAGAAAGCCTACTCAAACTTTCGACCTCAGAATCATCCGTAGAATCGTCAGGTCTGGTGCATCCTTTTGCACCGAGTACATCCTGGCCATCCCCAGACAAGAAACTCGTTCTCTCAACTTCTTGCCAAACATATTGCCCCGGAGTACTTGATCTTGACCTTTTCCTGCCAGTATACAGTCCAGATAGTTTCCGATGTCGAGTTTTCTCTTTGTTAGGCCTCTTTAAATCACGGCCCAGTGGATTTTCAAGAGGATGATGAATGTTGGAAACAGGCATATTTCTGTTACTTTTACCATCCCAAACTTTAGTCCCAGGCGAATGAAGGCCAGTGACATCAGTTGCATCTTCATCTTCAGATATATATGGACTACCACTACCAGAATCAGATATGACTTCCTCTTCGCTCATCACTCTTTCCGCAGCATCTTCTAAATATGAAGCATGCATAGAATAATTAGACCTGTTCTCACTTCCAAGATTGATAGGTTTATTGACTCTAGGCTGCCTAAGAACTACAGAATTAACAGCATTGGAAGAAAGAGGAGAATGATTCTTGGTCACACCATCCTTGTCCTGGGGGTTTGACTGATTTCTGGAATCATCTACCACAACTGGCTTAGTAGAATAAGGCTTCTGCCGTACTTGTTCAATTACCCCATTTCCGCCTGCATTTTTATAGTAATTTCTTCCTTTCGTCCACATGTTCTCAATATTTTCTGGAGCCAGAGCTGTACTTTTTCTCTGGGACATAACATCTAGCATGTCACTCCATTGTCCTCCTGAACTATTTAGCTGACTGTTAACTTGAGGGGGCAAGGGCAAAGAGCTCCATGAACGTGTAGTCCTAGTATAAATAGAAAGTAGAGGATCTTTCGAGATATAGATTGAATTTCCATTCTCTGTTTCAGGTGCACCATCCCGACTTCTGGAGTTATCAGTTTTCAACGGCACAAGCTCAACACCAGTACCAGTAGGATCTAAGAATCTAGGAGAGTGATCGTTGGTCCTCAAAGACTCGTTTGGTTTAGCAAGGGATGCTCCTTCCGCCAAAGCAACCCCCCTATCAGCCTTGGAAGCTACAAAAATTTCAATCCTTTCATTTATGAACCTGTCAAGGAAGTTCAAGAAACCAAAATAATTGGGTAATTGAAACTGAAAATGTGTAGTTTTTGAGGGGCATAAAGCAAAACCAGGGCGAATAATTACCTTGGAGTAGCCAAGTTCAAAACTGGTCGCATCACTGCACAAGCAAGCAGCTCCCTCGCAAGATAACGGAAGAATGAGCATTTTAGATCTTCTGGCCTAAATGTAGATGAAATTAATCCCTCCATCAGATGCTGCAAAACCTGAAAATAAACAGCAGAAGCTTTGGTTACCAGTTGATGGACAGCCCAACTCGAGGAGCATTATTTTCATCAGTGCCTAGTACTATTCATGCACTGACTTCTATGATAGGAAAAGTCAACCTTGTGCTCGGCCTCAGGAGAAAATAAAGCAGGATGAAGCTTGTTTTCAGCAGTGAGTACTTGTTTTAGCTCCCTGTCTCGTTGTTCAATGGACAGAAAATTGGGTTGTTTCTGTGCAATCTTTGCTTGAGTGGCTCGAAAAAGCACCAAGTGGGCGCAGATGAGATTAATGAGATCCCTGTGTCATTATATATTAGTTTGTAAAAAAATAATTTTGAATAGCTAAGAACCCAGACAATTAATGTGGTCATGAAAAGAACGGCAACCTTGTTAGAAGATCGAGAAGATTTATATCTCTCAAACGGGCAGAGAGTTCTCCAAGGACTCCATTCATTATCACTACCAGTTCCTCTGGTCCCTCTTTATCAGGTGTTAAGCGACCATACCAAAGATCTGTTACCCATTCAGACACAATATGCATCATGAAGTGATTTATTGCATCCTCGACAACAGGAGAGTTTACTTTCTTCCTCCATTGAGACTTCTGAACAATCCTTGAAGATCCATGTGGTCTATTCTGAGGTGATGCATTTGAATGCAAGGATTTGCTCACATATGTTGCAGTTTTTCTCCTCATTTCAAGATCCAGCGCTATATAACGAAGAAGGATGATTAGGAAGGAGGCAGCTGGTAAGTTGACCCACACAGAGGAGCTTGTCACTGAAAAAGGCAAAAAAATTCTATTGGAAATAGAAGCAAAGAAACAAATTTCCAGCATGTACAGAATTGATACATAATGGTGAAACCTCAAACTCAGACCTATTACCATGACTACCAACAGAATGAACCTCATAAGCCAATAATTTAGACAGACACAATGCATCAATTTTGCTTGACAAACTAAGTCTGTAGGAACTCGGTCCTTTCTGGGGCTCAATTCATTCGGATGAATTCTAAGCCGCTCAAAATAAAACACAATATAATGCGGACAAATGCTTGGTCTAGTGATGTGGTACTCTCACTGGTCTTCAACCTGGAGGTTGTTGCATCAGGCTCACAGTTGTTCCTTCTCTCCAATACTAATTCCATAAAACGAACCAGCTAATGGGGCAATCTATTGCAACATAAAGCGCTAAAGCAATTAAATCAGATTACCTTTTGATTAAGTCATACACTTCAAAGTAATAATGAACAAACTTCAACATAAAGTATGAATTGGATGCTTCTGCAAAACTTCAAATACCCAAATGTTCGCTAAACTGGTTTTACCTAGGCGTCTCAAGACATAGACATGCCAAGAGGGGAGCAAACAATTGCCATTTAACAGCCCTGTGAACGATCAAACATGCCATTGCTATTGACAGTCCAACAAAGAAATTAAGAGATAGCATTGTAAAATGAAGATGGCACCACAACTTCTAAAAACAGGGGGATACACTCTAATAGAAAGGGCCTGAGATGAATGGTTATGGAATTGTTTTAAAAGCAAGCAACGGTCTTGTGTTCGACATAGGCTAGGGTTGCTGCCAACAGTTATTCTAACTCATCCTAGCTACGCTCTGAATTAAACAAGTCTTTTTAACAGTTCACCTAATCAAGCACGCAGAGAGAGAGGAATGAAATGGAAGCATGTCAGCATACATTCTACCAATAAAGCTCTAATTTCCCCGCAGAGCTATAAGGGAAACGCAATTCGACCATCGAAACCTCCATTGCCGAATCAAATTGGAGCTATTCAGAACTTACGAGACATGAGATAGGATAAACCGACGACGCAAATTGCCAGAATCACAAATCTCTTCTTGGCCTCCTCCATTAGGTCCTTCACTATCGCCTGCCGCTGCTGCTGTTGCTGTGAGCTCATTTCGCATTCCTCTTATATTTGCTCCCCCTCTCTCTGGATTTCGCCGGCGACGAAGAATCAGCAGCAGCGACGCTTTAAAGCACGATCGCAAAGGGTGAATCATCCAAACAAGGAAATTTTGTAGAAATTGGAAGCGCGGGAGGCGGCGAGATGATTGTGGGATTGGAAAGGAAGAAAATGGGGAAGGTAAAAAGCGTGAAGAGAAGAAACGAAGGCCTTCTTGAAGGACCGTTAGGTTTTAGTTTTGCTGTTTTTGTGCACTCATGGAAGAAGTTTACGGAGATGGAACGAGGGAGAGAGAGGGAATTGAATGCTTGATGGGAATGAGAGCTCGTTATTTCTCTCCGCCCGCCTCCTCTTCCGTCTTCGTCTTCACTTCTGCAACCAGGGAAGCTATTTTCCGTCACTTTCTTGCACTGCTTGCTGCCTTTGTCTTTCTCTCTCGCCGGGAAAATTTTCCATCATTCCTAATTCACAAACCCCGACATCAGTACATTAACTGTAATTATGTATGTCAAAAAGTTATCATTTGGATAACTCACAAGTTGTCAAGGTGAATATTTTTTTTAACAAAATATTGAGTTAATGATCAATTTATAGAGCTATTTCTTTTTCTAATATTTTTCTTTTATCAATAATTTCTTTTGCTTTTGCATTATATGTATTAATCTATGTATGCAATAATAGACTAATGTTTGTAAAGTGACATCTATTACATTTTTTTAAATAGAAAACATATTATAACATCTTTAAGTCAATTTTCTACTCATTTATGTTAAAACTTAATAATAAGTTACATTTTAATGAAAAGTTAGAAAAATCACAAGCAAATAATAATATTTTATTCGATCAAACAAATATAACGATGGAAAGAGAGAAAACAGTTGTTTGACGATTAATCGACTTTCAAAAATAAAATATATTATTTTATATTTTTTACTATCAAACATTTTTCTCATTTCTAATGTATATGTCTATCAAATATAGCAAGTATTATATAACAAAAGATCTAGATAGAAACTTGACGATATACAAGTATTATATGACACATGTGAATGCTAGAGAAGTATTTGTAATGATGTACGGTAAACATCACATATCATCAACTACTAACCTAAGCATTGTTCAAACAAAGGCCGACAATTTTTGTTTAATAGTTGAATATATTGGTAGAAAAATATAAATTTTAGTATTAATATAATAACTAAACATCTGTTTGTTGGTTAAAATATCTACACTAAAAGCATTTATAGTTACAAAAATCTATTCCGAGTTATTGGGTTAAAAATGAAGAATCTTTAATAAGGATGAGTTCAACAAGGCAATTGTAAGAAGTCATTTGGTAGTACGGTTATGAGCCTCTGACTACATACCAAATTTTGGCAATAACAAAAATGTTTTGATATCAAAGTGTCAAAACAGAAATATTTTACTTTGTAACATGAAGCAATTTGTATTTAGATCGAGTTATCCTAGCTACAATTATTTTTTTCTTTCATATTCCACTGATCGAGCAAGTTTGAAGGTATTAACTATGATTAAAAAGTAAATTAAACTCTTTACATATGCTTCGATATTAACAATAGATGTGTATACAATACATCGATAAATCAATATGTATGCGAAATGTCATAATGGTTGTATAAATTTTTTAAAAATTGAATAAAAAATCAACTTTTTAAAAAATATAAATTATTTGTTCAAACGATACGCAGTTTTAAATGCACCTAAAATTCGTGTGCATTGTAGATACACTTTATTAGTTATCAAGATAAGTAACCAACATTTTGTTTTCATGAAATCGTACTGTATCGGCGGTTAACCAGAAAATACCATTGTTGGAGGTTAAACCGATACGCGGTATTTCACGGTTTCTAACTGTTGAACTGTGGTTAAACCACGATTTTGCCATAAAATAACCTACTACTCACTTTTCCGGTACGATGTCCAGTACAGTTTCATGAACCAAACACCAAAGATAAAGAAAATTTTACAAATGCACATTAAAAGAGTTGGAACTATATACTCTAAATGAGCATGTCAAGACAAGAACCCTTGATAGTGTGTGTGAGTGTCTTGGGTTGAGATTCTAAACCAACATGTAGACAACAACCATTGGTTGAGGATTAGACCAAACTTCAAGAATTAGTGATTGATACATATTGTATAAGATACTAAATTTGAGTGTCTTGATAGACAAATTTGACATAAGATCCTCAAATGAGACTTCATGAACATTCACATGAAAATGAGTCATGATTAGATAATATGATCATCGTAAGGGGTACAATATGTGTTAAGTTTCACTTGGGTTAAACAAAATTTATCCATTAATTAAGTATCTTTATGACTTTATCCAATAATTTGAACTCTCAATAATTGGTTTAGAGTTTGTCCTAACTCGAGAATGACGAATTGTTATATGTTGTATAATATAATAAATTTGAGTGTCTTGATTTGACAAATCTTGATATGATATCCTGAATGAGATGTGATAAATCTTCATGATATAATTTTTTATTAGAGAATAATAGAATCATAGGTGAGTATGCTAAGTATTGAGAATTTTTAATATGGACATATCGCATACTCGCTTATAAAGTGAGAGTATAAAAATTTAAATGATTCAAAAGATTTTCAACATATAGATAAATCAATTGATATAAATGATAATGAAACTCTCTGGCCAATAGGCAGGGTAAGAAACTAGTAGGGTATTATGTTCTGCATGTCTACACATATGCTCCTGAATGTTTTTTCTTTATTTTTTAGATTATTTTATTATGTGGTGATTATGGTTGTCGGTACAACTTGGTTATAACGGTCACAGAATAAGTTATGATAGTTACTACTCTTTTAGTAGTTATCGTGACTATCTACATTTTCACCCATCATTCTTAGCATTTTTAAACTGACTATCATAATTTATTAGAAATAATTTTGGTAAAAAATAATAACCACACTGGATTATAATTCTTAAGATATAACTTTCTATATATTCTCCCCATTCCCTAAATAATTATTCCACCCCTAACAATCCAACCGTCTAATCGCCCGTAACTAACATAGGAAAAATAGGCAAGGGTACCTATCGTTATAGGGCAGTATAGCAGGAAGCAAGATCGTATCCAGTCCACAGAGACTATGTGTACTAGTACTTGGCTTTTATTTAGTCAATCGTTTTAGTGATTTTGTTTAGATATATAATCACATGCAATGATAAAAACGCAATAGAATAGTTTTCAAAGTAAAATCAAGTGGAGAAGGCATTGTTCTGGAAGTGAATCCCTCCTAATATGCATTTTATAGACAAGTTGAATTTAACATAGACGAGTGTTCATATTTTAGACCGTGAAAATTTCCAATTTAGTGTTAACCCATTCACACATGTATTAATACCCTTTCGACTTAAGAATCAAGTGAAACCATGGCTTACAAGACTCTAAAACTAAAGCATTAACCAAACTTGTGAATTTCCGTTTTTGGTTTTTAAGCTAATCCAGAGGAACTACGTGACCTCATCACCGGTGGCTCCGATCAATTCCTTCTTTTCACGAGAGATGACAAATTACCTCGCAGTCTCATTTACATGTATCAAACAAAATATACAATAGACGCATACTATTGATATTTGCACATGATAAGTCGAGAAAAGATCCTAAGAACGAGAACAACACGTCTATATCAAAGATACCACTCAATCCATGTAAAACATATTAGGGTTCATCAAATCCAGAACAACTAGAAGATTAGCTGGACATGATGAGGTTTAGAAAGATAAAGGTTGAGAACATTACCATGATGAAGAAGAACGGAGGGTTCGAGAATACAATATATATATTGAGTTAATAGATTACACCTAGCAAAATTTCGACGAGGGAATAATGTTTGGGGGAAGGCGGTGAAAACTGACCAATCTACCACCACAAATGATTATCAAAACCCCACAAAAAAGAAGCTTACTTTGGTAATCTTAATAACGCAATATACCACGATATTCCCAATTACGAACAAGAACATGAGAGCCATGATGGATGAAATACGAGATATGATTAACGAATTGAAAAGAAGTAATAAGAGTTTGGATTGGAAATGGACATAGTTTCGGCTAACTTCAAACACAAGAAAGAAAGAAAGATCAAAGTCTCAAAGTAGGAGGTGTGTAGTGTGTCTAGTGTCTTCTCTTGCAAGCTTCTATTTATAGGCAGCAACAGCTCTAACACGGTTTGGGAATAGGACCGTGTTCACTGCTGAATGCCAGATCGATGTGTTAGCATTGCGGAGATTGATTGGCTGAATTTTTTACTCAACGTGGTCGGAGAACACGGCCGTGTTCAGGTGGACAAAACTGTCAGTTGCTCTCTTAAAACTTGCAGAAAAGGTCGACGTGCCCAACCAACATGGACGTGTTCCCAAGTCGTGTTAGTTCCAACGACCAGCAACGTCATAAATGTGATCTCTGCGTCAAAATGATTGTGAAATGTGATTCTGACAATGAACATGGTCGTGTTGATGTCCACGTTGATTCTTCGACAACTTATTGACTTCTCTTGACGTGGTTTTCAACATGGTCGTGTTGAAGGGTGTATTCATATGAACGTGGTCTTGGACATTGCCATGTTTCTACCCACGTTGACCATTTGAAAGCTCTTTGACTTTTGTTAACGTGGTCTTCAACGTGGCCATGTTGTAGAGTGTGTTGATGTTGACGTGGTCTCGAACATGGCCATGTTGCAGGGTGTGTTGATGTTGACGTGATCTCGAACATGGCCATGTTGCTGCCGACGTTGACCTTTAGAAAGCTTTTTGACTTTTGCGGACCTGGTCTTCAACATGGCCATGTTGTAGGGTGTGTTGATGTTGACGTGGTCTCAAACATTGCCATTTTGATGTCCACGTTGACCTTTTGAAAGCTTTTTGACTTTTGCGAACGTTGTCGTCAACGTGGTCATGTTGCAGGGTGTGTTGATGTTGACTTGCTCTGTTAACATGTCCATGTTGATGCCCATGTTGGCCCTTTTGATAGCTTTTCCTTCAGTTTAGCAGGGGCAATTTGACTATGCAGTTTACCGTTTGACTCTGCATTGTCAATCACCTCTATCTGTGATTCGTCATAATACAGGGCGGGTTTCTTATGTTGACACCAAAAGGGGACGCGACCTAAGTGGTACGACTCTTTGCCCTTGCTTGGGACGCCACGGGCTTGAGTTCCGCCGAGGTCAGATTTCGAACCCTAACCGTCTTTTTATCATTCGACCACCAAATTAGTTCGTTCTTTCTTCTTATTAGATGGAATAATATGAAACATCACTTAAACACAAAACCAAGCGCAAAATCGAGAAATTGAATGAACTTAGTACAATTTAGGTCATTTTAGGATGTAAAAATTGTAGGTGAATATATGTATAATTCAGGTGTTATCACTGTCCCCTCCCTTCCTCCCTCTTTGTCCCCGACAGAACTCCAAACCGATAGCCCACCGC